TACAGGATGGTTTCAGATTTGTCCTCAAAGCCCCCGGCCATCACATGGATTTGTCCATCACAGTTGATTTAGAGATGAAGCACTGATCAGACAGACCAGGTATGGTATGATAACTACAGTTAATACTGGGCTGCTTAATTTTTTTTATTATTATATTATATTATTATTATATATTATTTTTGTAAACTTGTGCATGCGAGTGTAATGACTCAAGGTGCAATTTTGCACTTTGCAGGATAATATTTTTAGCTTATGCGTTTTTTTTAGAACGGGTATCTTGAATGTCATTTATTTTTATGTAACCTTTACACTTAAATATTTTAAATGCAGAGTCTGAATATTTTTTTCCATATCAATGTTTTTGTACATGTCTTCATTTGTGCTTATGAATGCATATTTATTGTTCATATTTGTAAGTATTTCTAAGACCTAATTTGTGCAGATGGTGAGCACTGGTTTCACCTCACTGTAGCTGGGGTCAAGTAATGAATGACCTCATTTTCTCTGACATTTTGTGCATGATTGTTTGTAATGCCTACATTGTGGTGAATTATCACTGATACAGAATACAGAAGCACCAAATAGAGGAATACTCTGAGTTTTCTGTGCTGAGTGGCACATTATGAGGCAGAGTTACGGCCACAGTGTGTGTGTGTGTGAAGCCGTTGGTGGTTAAAAGTGCTTGTTTAGCATGGGGAGTGTTGCTTCATACTGAAAGTATCACCTACCGCACCTCAGAAAGCATGCGCTGTGCATGTGTTTGGATCTAAATGTTTTGGGTTGCCATGGTAGTTTTTCCATGTCCTCATTCTCGATGACAGATAAGGTTCAGAGCAACTACATGCAGAAGTTTCTATTTATTTGCTGAGTGTAACATATTGGAAGAAATAAAACATTAAATACAGTCGCGTGAAGAAGTAAATACACCCCATGAAATGTTTCTCTTTTGTTTTACGTGCAGACATAGAAGTATTCAATCTTATTCTCCAGGGTATATTTTGGTTTTTCCATCTGAATTTACATGCCCAAATGGCAAATTATTCAGTAACTGCATGAAATAAATGTCAATTTTTATTTTATTTTATTTTTTTTGTTAAAGTTTCCATCAAATTAATAGAAAATGTGTTTTATGATCATATTACTATTTACTGCTGAAAGCCAAAAATCTTTTGTATTTTTTTATAAAAATTATTTAATTAATAATTTTATTAATTATTATAGTTTCTAGCCCAGATTTGTGGAAAAATGGGTCGACTTTCAGTAGACAAAAAATTGTGAGTTCAGCTTCTTTTATTATAAGGGTTTAAAATTACATTACATGTCTATTTGACTGGAAAGAAGACAGTTACAGCTCTCATATGACCCCCACCTTTTGAATGTAGCTTATGAAATATAAAAGTTATGAAGAATATGACGAAGTGCGTTTTTTTGGAACCGCCGGTGGTCCCAAGGAGTTGAAAAGGTTAAACGGTATGTACATGAAATTTTACTTTGCAATCACTTATTAAAAAAATTATAGTTGAAATGTCATTTTGTCTGTTGAAAAAGTAAGTGCACTCCTGACTTCAGTAACTGGTACTGCCCCATTTGGAAGAAACAACTTTATGTAGGCGTTTCCTATAACCATCTATCAGTCTCTACACACTGAGAGAATTTTTCGCCCACTTCTCTTTTATCCTCTCAACAGTGCAATATTTGAGCTGTTTTAAATCTTCCCATAGCATTTCAATGGGATTCAGATCTAGGCTTTGACTAGGCCATTCCACAACCCTTTACAGCCATTCCTTGGTGGATTTACTTGTATGTTTGGGATCATTATCCTGCTGGAAGGTTCACTTCGTCAGCTTCAACTTTTTTAGAGATGGTCTCACATTCTCCTCAAGCACTCTGTGGTATGAAAGAGATTTCATAGTCTATTCTATTACTGCAAGTTGGCCCAGACCAGAGGCGGCAAACGAGCCCCAAACCATAATATCTCCACCACCATGCTTTACTGCTGGTATGAGGTTCTTCTGATCAAATGCTGTCTTTGGTTTTCACCTATCATGGCTCCTGGTACATTGGCCAAACAACCCTATTTTGACTTTTCTGTCCCTAGCACATTGTTCCGGATGTCCTGGTCCTTGCCTACATATTCATTAGCAAACTGTGTCTTGCCCCTATGTTCTTTTTAGAAGGCAAGGACTTCTTCCTGTCACACCTTCCATGTAGGTCAAATTTGTGCAGTCTTTTTTTAATAGTAGCTACATGCACATTTTACATCAACAGTGGCAAGAGCTACCTGCACATCCTGTGATGAAATTATGTGGTTCTTAGAGAGTTCTTATGACATGAGAGAGCATGTGACAGTCTGCTCTTGGGTTGAATTTGCTGGGCCTGGGCAAGTTGGCAGTGGTTTTAAATCTTTTTCCATTTGCAGATGATCCTCTGGACAGTGAAATGATTGATTTTTCATATTTTATTTTATTTTATTTTATTTCCTAAACCCCCTCCCAGACTCACAGGCATCTATAACTTGCTGTCTGAAGGCCTCAGAAAGCTCTTTTGATCTGGACAAGATGATACCACACACTCCAATAACAAAGACCAAACCAGACCAGAAATCTGAGGCTTAAAAAATTCAACCCCATTTCCAAAAATGTTGGGACGCTGTGCAAAATGTAAATAAAAACAAAATGCAATGATGTGCAAATCATTTAAACCCTATAATTATTTGGAACTAGTACAAAGACAACATATCAAATGTTGAAACCGAGAAATTTTATTGTTTTTTGGAAAATATATGCACATTTTGAATTTGATGGCAACAACACATTCCAAAAAAGTTGGGACGGGGGCAACAAAAGGCTGGTAAAGTTGTGTAATGCTAAAAACAACATCTCACAACTAATTAGGTTAAATAGTTAATTGGCAACAGGTCAGGAACATGATTGGGTATAAAAGAACATCTCAGAGAGGCTGAGTGTTTCAGAAGTAAAGATGAGGAGGGGTTCACCACTCTGTGAAAGACTGCATGAGCAAATAGTGCAACAATTCAAGAATAACATTTCTCAGTGTAAAATAGCAAAGAACTTTTGTTTTTCATCATCTACGGTACATAATAACATTAAAGATTCAGAGAACCTGGAGAAATCTCTGTATGTAAAGGACAAGGCCAAAAACCAGTATTTGCTGGCCATGATCTTTGGGCCCTCAGGCAGCACTGCATTAAAAACAGACAAGATTCTGTAGTGCAAATCACTGCATGGGCTCAGAAACACTTCTGAAAACCACTGTGAAACCAGTTCATCACTGCATCCACAAATGCAAGTTAAAACTCTAAAACGTAAAGAAGAAACCAGATATAAACAGGATCCAGAAAAGCTGACACCTTCTCTGAGCCCAAGCTCATTTCAAATGGACTGAGGGGAGGCGGTAAAGTGTCCTGTGGTCCGACGAATCAACATTTGAAATTCTCTTCAGAAATCAGGGACACTGTGTCCTCCAGGCTAAAGACTACTCAGCTTGTTATCAGCGCACAGTTCAAAAGCCAGTATTCATGATGGTATAGGGGTGCATTAGTGCACATGGCATGGGTGACGTGCACATCTGTGAAGGCACCATTAATGCTGAACAATATATACATGTTTTGGCAACATGTGTTGCCAACCAGACAACATCTTTTTCAGGGAAGGTCTTGTTTATTTCAGTGAGACGATGTCAAACCACAATCTGCACGTGTTGCAACAGCATGGCTCCATATTAAAAGAGTCTGGGTGCTAAACTGACCTGTCTGCAGTCCAGACCTGTCACAACTGAAAAGGTTAGGCGCATTATGAAATGAAAAATAAGATAAATGAGCCCCTGAACTGTTGAGCAGCTGAAATCCTGTATCAAACAAGAATGGGAAAACATTTAACTTTCAAAGCTCCAGCAGTGTCTCCTCAGTTTCCAGACGCTTACAGAGTGTTGTTAAAAGAAGAGGTGATGAAACACAGTGGTAAACATGCCCCCATCCCAACTTCTTTGGAATGTGTTGTTGGCATCAAATTCAAAATGGGCACATTTTTTTGAAAAACAATACAATTTTCCAGTTTCAACATTTGATATGTTGTCTTTGTAGCATTTTCCTTTAAAAATATGGTTTACATGATTTGCACATCATTGCATTTTATTTTTATTTACATTTTGCGCAGTGCCCCAAGTTCCTCCAAGATATTCTCTAACAGTTTTCTAATCATTAGCACCTCAGTGGGTGTAACTGATTTCAGTTCGACACATTTGAAGTAGTGATATATGTGAGGGTGTGATTACTTTTCCTACTTTATAGGAAAAAACATTACTTTTAATGTAAGTCAATGGAACCAGACTTTTTTGGGCTGTTTCTTTTAGTCCAATCATCATTAAATTTACACACAATGTGTAGAGCAACAGGCATTTTCAGATTGTCAAAAACTGAAAATGACAAAAATGGAGACACGAGGTTTTCTTCCGACAGCAGCGATATATTGCATATATACAGTATTCAAATATATTGAAAAGTCAATATTTTGCATGGGGTGTACTTACTTCATCACATGACTGAATACAATGTGCCATAACTTTTGCACAAGCCTCTTTTCCATTATATTATATTCTGCAACCAATTGTGAAAAGTAGTTGTGCATTACAGCGTGCAGGGATGTATTCTCTACTTAGAATGTGTTAACATGTTTTTACTTAGAAAATCAACAAAACATGTCATTTGACCAGGGGTGTTCAAACTTTTGCATACGACTGTACATCTCAAATTACATCTACCTGCATGAATGAAGTGAAAACAGCAAATAAGCAAAGTATTACAGAATTAAGTGGAGTTAAATAGTAAAAGTGAAAGTAAATACTTGCGCATATACAACTTTCATCTTAACTGCGACATCTCAATATAGAGAATGCATCAAGGGGGAGATGCTCTAAAAGCGTGGTCATCAGCCGGCCAAGAAGGACATCAGCCATCTTTACAGATGAAGTTGAAAACTTACCGCCGTTTATGAGCATGATGAGCGCAAGGCCCGCCAGCTTTGCAAGCAGCAGCATGGCCGGTCCTGCCCTGAAGCCTGCAGCAATGACAACGATGGTGAATGATGCTGAATGAAGGGAAGTGATTCTCCTAAAATCTTTCAGATATAATCCTGTCAAAAGACACCGTTCCTACTTCTCGTATTGAGCAGGGTGTGAGGCAGCATCTGCCTCCGAGACGATTCTAACCAACTAAACAGGAAATCCTGCTCTATATGACAAAACTTGCTTTGAGGAAGGAACTTTTGTTCAAGTGTACACCGCCCTCTCATTCATTAAGCATCATCGTTTTATTCAGCTTAAAAAAACTATATGTTTTATAACAAGCAGACAGTAAATGTTTGCAAATAAAAAAAATACATATTACACACACATAAAATGCATTTCAGTAAAGCAAAAGTTACCATATAATATCATATAACAATATCAGTATTAATAAGACATTCAACTGTAATGCATCAACCATCAAATTCAAAAGGCAGTTATTTTAAAGACATTAAATTGCTCATTATGTCCATCATCTGTGTGTTTTGCTGTACTGTGCAAAAGTCAGGCAACACGACAATTAAACACAGACAAACAGCCCTTCTAATTGGTGGAGTGTAAGCTTCCATTACTTCTTAGCAACATTAGCCACAGCATAAAACTGAAGATGCAAACTTCAGACACAGAATTTGTCTGGGCTGACTGGCTACATTTGGGTAAAGGGAGCAAATTTCGTAGATTAAATTATTTGCTGAACTGTCACCTGAAATGGATGCTGTGCTGATAAATTGCACTTTGCTCTCATTTTCTGCGACAATCATGAATCACAGAAATCATCAATATTACCATTTTAGAGATGGTTTGCTCTGGGCTAAAACTAATGCTCAATAGAGAACATTCATCTTTATCTGTGCTGAGATGCTTTAGAACTATTTGAAATTCTTACAGAAATAGCCCTTCACTTATAAGCACTGCAGCTGAACTTACACAACTAAAAATCATAAATGAAAATGCCTACTTATACAGCACTATGCAAAAGTCTGAAACCACCCTACATTTATTTAATTTCCAGTCCATATGGTGATCAAGTACAAGCTTTACTTTTCTAATCCTTTTTTAAAGCCAAAAACACATTTAACAGTAAATTTCAGGAAGTCTAAATATAATTACATTTATTTTTTTGGTATTCTGTCCACTGTTTACCAAGTCTCAAAAACATTCAGTGATGTCTGGACTCAAGTCTGGACTCCAGGGTGGCCAGTCCATTATTTCTGACAGCAGTGGTGTACCCACAAGTAGGCCTAGATTGGCTTGGGCCTACCCAGACTGATCACAGGCCTACCCAATCAAATGGGCACAAAATATTTCTTAAACATTTTTTTTAAATAATGAAATTAGTTTTCTGTGAATGCAGCCATTGTGTTATGGCCAGTCAAACCATTACACTCTCTACCAAGCTCCACCCTGTTTTCTCAGTCCTCCAATTACTGCTTAGCAACTGTTACTATCCACCATTGCCTCAAGCCTTCGAATTATTATCAGTGTACCAGTGTTTAAATCTGAAGCACCAGTTGCAGTTAAAAGATGTAACTGGGGGTGTTTGCATTTTTAAAAGTGAGTTTCAATACCACCGATTTTGTCATTTTCTACCCACCCAAAGCCAAAAACAAATTTAAAAACTATTGTCATCAGTTTTCTGCAAATTCACGAATTTGGTCCTTACAATATTCTTTGACCATATAAGCTGACTTGGGCTTTGTAAAAATGTCAAAGCAAACATATAACATTACTTCAATGCATCAAGTCATCACGGGTAAGACATAAATGGACGATAAGCATTTTTCATGCCCATCGTGGCAGCATCCTTTTGCCTATGATGGTGAAATATGTTGTGTATATCTCAGCTGTTGTATTTTCAAATAAGTACAACACTGGGCTCGGGTTGGGCTGCTTTTCAAGCGAGTGATTTTTTTATGTACACATTAAAATCTAATTTTGGGGTTTTAACTTAAAAAGGTAAATAACATGGCTGCCTTCATATTTTGGATGCCTAAATATTTTTTGCAGGATAAAACATCAGATAAACTATTAAATCTATGAATGCAATGGAATGAATATATATATATATATATATATATATATATATATATATATATATATATATATATATATATATATATATATAATTTCAGTTGTAGAAAGCTGTCGCTTCACGCATGCGCTCTTTAGTACTGGGTTTCTGCTGGAAGAGTCTGCACTAATTTAATATCATCCAACCAGGGGACATGTACAATTTCAAAACATTGTGCACTCTTTCGCTACAGGTTGTGGGTTGAACATGTTTCATTGAAATGGTGTGAAAATGTGTGCAGTGGGTTTTGAGGTGTGTCTTCTCTCTTTTGATGGGTGTGTCAATGGTGTTACCCAGCAGGGTAACATAAAAGCCACCATATTTAAAAGACACACTGCAGCTTTGTGTGCACAACAATTGCAGATGTTAGAAGATGTATTTTGAAGTATTACACATATATTTAAACCCATCAGGCTTCGAAAATTCTTTGAAAAGAACATAAAGAATGGCCTTCTCAGCTGTCATAGTTCAACGCACACTGTTCAACACATCACCATTTCCATTTAAATTACGGAATCACGGGTCAAATCTACTATCCGTCTCAGCGTCTCTGACCAATATGAATACTTTGCATACAGTAAGATGTCACCAATATCACAGTGAAATGTCAGTGGAAACACTCCCTATGTATGTCTAGCAACACTGCATTGCTGATTTATTAGGTATACTTACACTATATAGACAAAAGTATTGGGACACACCTCCTAATTATTGGGTTCAGGTGTTTCAGCCGCACCCATTGCTAACAGGTGGTTAAAATTAAGCACTTAGCCTTGCAGTCTCAATAGACAAACACTGGCAGTAGAATGGGTCGTACTGATGAGCTCAGTGACTTTAAACATGTGACATGTCAACTGTAAGTGCTATTATTGTGAAAGCACCTAGGAGCAACAACAGCAGTAGACCATGCAAACTCACAGAGTGAGGCCGCCAAGAGCTGAAGTGCACAGTGCCTATCCTCTATTGAAGCACTCACTAGAGTTCCAAATTGCCTCTGGAAGCAACATCAGCAAAGTGTCGTGTGTTAGGAGCTTTACGAAATGGGTTTTTATGGCGGAGCAGCTGGACACAAGCACAAGTAAGCCGCCACTGGACTCTGGAGCAGTTGAAATGCATTCTGTGGACTGATGAATCATGCTTCTCTATCTGGCAGTCTGATGGATGAGTCTGGGTTTGGCGATTGCCAAGAAACGTTACTTGCTTGACTGCATTGTGCCATAAAGTTTGGTGGAGGAGGGATAATGCTATGGGGTTGTTTTTCAGGGGTTGGCCTAGGACCCTTAGTTCCAGTGAAGGGAAATCTGAATGCTTCAGCAGACCAAGACATTTTGGAGAATTCTGTGCTTCCAACTTTGTGGGAACAGTTTGGGGAAGGTCTTTTCTGTTCCAGCATGACTGAGCCCCAGTGCACAAAGCAAGGTCCATAAAGGCCTGGCTGGGTGAGTTTGGCATGGAAGAACTTGACTGGCCCTCACAGAGCCCTGACCTCAACCCCATCAAACACTTTTGGGATGAACTAGAATGGAGATTGTGAGCCAGGCCTTCTCATCCAAAATCAGTGTCTGACCACACAAATGCTCTTCTGGATGAATGAGCAAAAGTTCCCACAGTGACACTCCAAAATCTTGTAGAAAGCTTCCCAGAAGAGTGGAAGCTGTTATAGCTGCAAAGGGGGACCAGCTCCGTATTATTGTCTATGGATTTAATATGGGATGTCATAAAAGCTCCTGTGGGTGTAATGTGTTGGTGTCCCAATACTTTTGTCCATATAGTGTACCTTATACCTTCAATCATTTTGACTTTGACTTGGCCATTGTAGAACATTCACCTTTTTTGTCAGCCACTGTGTTGCTTTGATCTCTTGCTTGGGAACGTTGTCCTACTGAAAGTTTCTGCCAAGCTTTTTTTTACAGATTGAAGCAACTTCTCCTGCAACATCTCCCTGTATTTTGCACAATCCATCTGTCCTTCAATTTTAACAAGATGCCTAGTTCCTGGTGAGGAAAAGCATCCCCGTAACATGATGCTGCCACCCCCATACTTCAAAGTAGGGATGGTGTTTGTTAAGGAATGTGCAGTGTTAGGTTTAACACATGGCATTTTGAAATTTGGCCAAAAAGCTCCAACTGTATTCTCATTAGAGCAAAATCTGGGGTAGACAGAAACACCTGTGGATTTTTGCAGATCTGAATCAAGAGTGGAGCTTGATTTTCTCCTCTCTCTCAAAGATGAAAGTACTGTTAATCTGATGCCGCCAGTTTTGGTGGTCTTTATGTTTGTTAATTATTTTGAACTCCAGTTTTGGAAAACTCCTGAAAAATGATGAACATAATGGCTTATTTGACTGGAACTTGACTGATGTAGGGTGGTCTCTGACTTCTGCACAGTACTGTATGTGAATGTTATGACTACACCAGCAACACAGTTGATGAGAACCCCTCGTCTTTCAGATGGCCCTGAATTCGACTGCCCTTCAGTGTATGAGAGCAGAGAACACACACTCTTCTTAGCAGATTGCACAGTTATGGCTTCTCCTGTAGCTTCTTATCAGTTTCATCTTTGGCATGTATACACAACGAAACTCACATCTGTTGGAAGTGAATATGAATTTAAGAATAATATTTAAACAGCCTGAAAAATGACTGATTTGCAGTTAAGTAAAATATCAACATCAGCAATAACAATGAAAAAAGAAAACAATGACGATAATAATAACTGTGCACACAGCAATCCTTCTACTAAAGTGGATCTATTTAACACTGACAAAACAAATACTGCAACTATACATTCAATTTAAAGACTGTATACTACTGATATATTAAATAACTTCCTTCCTAAATTAAAATCATAGCTTACCTAGTACAGTAGAAGCTCATATACTGCAATATTATCACTCAAACAGCCTGATATTAATCAGTTAGTAAGTTCTGAATATACAGCTTTCTAAATTATTATCTATATTCATCAAAAATCACTTTTCTACAGCTACAGATTGTTTGGAATATAGAATATTAGCATTATATCAGAATCGTTTCATACATTCATCTGCAACAAAATTGATTTTATTTGATTGAAATCAGTGACTCAAAACCTTTGAACAGTAATAAACCTTTTAACAATAGCATATACAGTCATATTCAGAAGCATGGCATCCTCTACAGAGAACACGTCTGCACATTTTAATGCAAAGTTACTGTATCTTTGCTGAATTTAACATACTTTGAAAAAATGAAACATAAATTGTGGCCTGTTGCAAAAGTTACAGCTCTTTTTTTTCCCTCTCAGTGTGGCCATTGTTAATGTATTAAACTGACACATAAGAAGTAACCCCGCTAGGCCACCTGGGAAATTTCACCCCAGGAAATATTGAGTTTATAAAACCCAGTAAGAGCACAGGTACACTTAGAAAGAATATTCAGAGATATGGTTTTGAGTTGGGCAATATTTAATAATCATCAGAGGCACGATGCACCCCAACAAGTCAGAGTAATAAAACAGCACATACACCAGTTTATTAATACACCAAATTAAAATATGTCATACAAGAGGAGCATATTAAAAGGAGATTCTATATATATGCATTCATTGTTGGCACTTTAGCAAAGAAGTTAGAGATCAGGCACACTGGCTGTTCAAGCTTAAAACAGGAAATGGTGTTGTAGTAATCTACTAGTGTACTACTTACTAGTGTTGAAGTAAGTCCAGAGTTCGAGACCATAAACGAGCAGTTTCAGTTTCTCTCATCTTGGTCTCGACCTCACTGGGATTCAGTCTTGCCTCTGAATTTTTTATTGAGACCAGCCAAGTCAGATGCCTCTGTGTGAGGTAACTCAAAGCTGAATTATCATAAACAGAATAGAATAAACAGAATAAGCAGTCCTTTCTCTGTGAACTAAACTCTCTGAAACGCATGCCAGATGTATTGCTAGGATACAGAGAGAAGCAGCTGGAACAGGAAAGCAAATGAACTGAAAGTTTCAATATTAGTGTATAGTATTCTATCACCTGTTCTGCTGGTATGACATGGAAAGTAATCATTTGTTTCAGTTTTTTATATTAATAACTGTTAGTAAGGAAAGTTATTTATTCAGTTTAGCTCATCACTCGCTGTGTGAGACTAACAGGAGTTCTGATAAATTGTGCTGCCTTGTCGAAATGTCCCACCGTAGCATGTATTTATAGGTAGAGCTCTGTATAAAACTGCAGGTAGGATATTTTGGTAGCCTAAATCGCACAAAGCAACTTCTTGTTCAAATTGTTCCGTTCCACCTTAAATGGTGCAGCAGTTACATTCTGGTCATGCTGGTGCATTACACTCATGCACCATTTAAGGTGGAACTCATATCAGAAAATGTTACCAGACTCAAAAGAATAATAATGTTACTGAGAGCTGTAGTTTACTGTTCATATTACATTGTTTACAAATCTGTTGATAGAACATCATTAATTGTAATTGATCTCTATTTTCTGCTGTAATTTTAGCTATTTACTCTATTTTATCAAGAAATGATAATAAATGTACTATTAACTACAAACAAATTTCATTTTTACATGTTTTTTTCCTGCAAAAAAATCATAACCTGGTCTCAGTCATGTCTCGGTCTCGGCCACTCCTGGTCTCGGTCTTGACTCAGAGTCAACTACTAAAAGTTTTGGTCTTGACTCGGACTCGGTGTGACCGGTCTCAGTCTTGACTCGGACACAGACTTAGCGGTCTTGACTACAACACTAATGGTCACTATATATCAGTAAAAAAAAAGGGACAGCTCTGAGTACTCCTTGACCTCGTCACTGCACACCCCACACACAGGGAAAAGTGCTTTCAAACACTCCAAAAGTTACCACTGCAAGTAAGGTGCAGAGAAGTGAGTGAGAGAAGAGAGGGGGAGAGGAAGCCTCCAAGACAGTAACCAGCCGAGCAAGGAGGACACCACACACGCTGAGATGCTCTATGAGAGAGAAAAGACAATCGAAATTAATACCAATCGGCTATAAGCCACTTTCAACTAGCTAATAGACTCAAGAGGATGCTACACAGCCAATTCACCCAAATTCCCCCCAAAACATATACAAAAACACAAGCAAATAACCCAACAACAACAACAAAAAAAGAAAAATCAAGTAACAAACATCCAACCTAATGGAAACGGGAAATACAACTAAGCCCAGAAAAACATAAATCAACAAAATAACTGTTGGCAAATGTGATATCATGAGGGGAAGCTACGGATGAGGCAGGGAGGGATAATCTCACATTACTTGTCTTTATTTCTCTCAACATTCAACCAAAGCATGGCCTGATGAAAGGACTTCCATTACTGCTGTTAACACGTGCACTCTATCTATAGAATGATTATGCTGAGAGCGCTCTAGCACCACCTTCTGCAGAAATGAAAAAATTTCACCTAAGGATAGGTGACAGCAAAATAATAATATTTAAACAAAATCCTGAATAAACAATATAAAAAAAAACAAAAATAAACTATGACTAAGCAACTGGGCCTAAGCTGAAAGAAGAGCGACAAAAAGTAACAAGGCAAAACAGGGCAACACAGGCAAAACCACAGTGGCTCCAATGAAAGGCTCTGTATGGATATAGACATGCTGGATGCCACCTAGACCAGCAAATGGCGACACTCCGGACCAAAATGTTAAGCAGAAATGAACAGCAATAGCAATGATTAAAAAGACTCGGCATGTATTTACATCTCTGTCAGTGTCTATTGTAATCAATGGCAGGGCTCTTTGAATCCCAGCTATGATTTCATTGGCCATGTATCTTATTATAGTCTGTTTCTGCTCCTGAAGCTAAATCTCCTGGTGCAAAGACAGAATAAAGGTGAAACCCCTACACAGTCTAACAAGAACAGATAATGGCTCACACAGCATAACTGCACAAAACAAGCATCTACATACACCGATCAGGCATAACATTATGACCACCTCCTTGTTTCTACACTCATTGTCCATTTTATCAGCTCCACTTACTATATAGGTGCACTTTGTAGTTCTACAGTTACAGACTGTAGTCCATCTGTTTCTCTGCATACTTTGTTAGCCCCCTTTTACCCTGTTCTTCAGTGGTCAGGACCCCATGGACTATTTGGGTGGTGAATCATTCTCAGCACTGCAGTAACACTGATGTGGTGGTGGTGTGTTAGTGTGTGTTGCGCTGGTATGAGTGGATCAGACACAGCAGTGCTGCTAGAGTTTTTAAACACTGTGTCCACTCACTGTCCACTCCTACCTTGTCAGTCCACTTTGTAGATGTAAAGTCAGAGACGGTAGCTCTGCTGCTGCACAGTTTGTGTTGGTCATCCTCTAGTCCTTCATCAGTGGTCACAGGACGCTGCCCTCAGGACGCTGTTGGCTGGATATTTTTGGTTAGTGGACTAGTCTCAGTCCAGCAGTGACACTGAGGTGTTTAAAAACTCCAGCAGCACTGCTGTGTCTGATCCACTTGTACCAGCACAACACACACTAACACACCACCACCACCTCAGTGTTACTGCAGTGCTGAGAATGATCCACCACCCAAATAGTCTCTGCTCTGTGAGGGTCCATGGGGGTCCTGACCACTGAAGAACAGGGTAAAAGGGGGCTAACAAAGTATGCAGAGAAACAGATGGACTACAGTCTGTAACTGTAGAACTACAAAGTGCACCTATATAGTAAGTGGAGCTGATAAAATGGACAATGAGCGTAGAAACAAGGAGCTGGTCATAATGTTATGCCTGATCGGCGTATCTGAAAGCTGAGCTTTTTCTGTATCTGATAGTGACTTAAAGGGGCATTTGAATGATTTTTCAAAATTTCTACATAATTTAATGGTTGAGCTGTAAACAACGTCATTTAGAGTGGTTTGATGTGAAATGCACTGTTCTAGAGAAAGTTACCTCTTTAGATTTTTACAGTGGTGGTGATAGGAACCAGGAGTCCCAATATCAACAGTGCAAATATAGCCATTTTGTTTACTATCCAAAATGACCAGTGAATCCACACGTGGTCTTTAAAGTTTATACATGTAATGTTGATGTTGGTAAAACAGTGGTAAATTGAAAAAAGAAAGCTTTCTTTGGGGACTATTTTGCCTTAGAACGGCCTGCATGTACCTCTCTGCCATGAACGTATTTTAAAAACTATATTTTAAGATAAATCATTATCTCAAAACTATAGTAAAAGAATGTCTGAGGCATCAGGTAGCATACTAATAACCATTCCATGTATTCATTTTCTGTGATGGAGCTTTTAGAGTCATTAAATGCTTTGGACTTCTGGTTCCTATCCTCACCACTGTGAACAATGCTGACTCAACAAGTTGCTCTAGAATGAAGCATCTCACATCAAACCACTCTGAATGACTTTGTTGCCTTGCAGTAAGAAGGTCTGTGACTTTTGTTGTGAGAGGCATTTTTCTGGCATCATTTGGGTCCAATTGTCCTATTAGAGGGGTCACTACAAATCAAGAGAAAGTTATTCTGACTGATACCCTTCGTCCTATAATGAAGTATTCCTATCCTGATGAGAGGGGTCTCTTCTAGGATACAGTTCCCCATTTGGGGTTCATTGAATGGTTTCATGAGCATGAAAATGATATAAACTATATGCTTAGATTATTGCAGTCACTTTATGTCGGTCTTTCATTTAATTTGTCAGCCGTCTGTATGTTATGTGTAAAGAAGATGAAACAATCTGTGGAGGACTTACAGTGTACTGTAATGGTGAGGGGATCTGATGTCACTGTAGGAGGAGGTTGAGGTCCTTCAGGTCCCAGATTCAGTTCTGCTTCACACCTGTACTGAACTCCATCATCATCTCTGCTGGGGGAGATCTGGAGTATAGATGACCGATTCACTGGAGTCTTGATGGGGTCAGTAAAGGTTACGTTTTTCACTAGAGTGTCTCCTTTGAACCAGCTCACAGTGTGGAACTCAACAGGAGCAACATTCTCAATGTCACACTGGAGCTCATACTGTCCAGCCTCAATCATCGGCCCAGTGTGACCCACAGTGCTGATGGACACCCTGTCTGGAGTCTCTGTAGGAAAAGATTTGAGATTTTATCCACATGAATGTTTAATTAAGGAGAGTGAATGAGTAATATATCTGAAAGCAAACAGGTGAGACAGCGACTCACTGTAAATAGTAACATGGAGATCAACTTTGCACTGCTTTTCTGGATTAGGATTTATGAAGCAAAATGGTTTTATGCCCCACTCCACAAGCCTGTCCACACTCCAGGTGACTAACTGGACATCATCCTTCATGTCCACTGGTCCCTGAGAGGCCTCCCAGCCTATTCCCACATGGTCGACAGAAGTGGAACAGTTTGCTGAGGCTGAACCTCCATATTCAGCCACCACTTCAGGAGGCTGAAGAGTAAGGGGACAAGGATCTGCAAAAACAGACTATAATTCATCAGCATTCACAAGAAAATGAATCTACATCACTCTATTTTAATACCTTCACCGCAAAACTTGGAGCAAGCAATTTGTTGTACCTTTGGTCTTGGATGAGTACTAAATTCTCCCACTAGCACCCACTCCCCGCTACAAGCCACTCCCTTTACACCACGCTCACTACAGGACACACCTATTGTAAGACACGCCCACAGCAAGACACATGTTGTAAAAGGATTTGACTACAAATTAATTATGTTCTTAAAGACCCTCAAGAGTTCTTCGGTTCTCACGTTATTCAGTTGGACCTCAACTCATTGTTGTTCCTTAAGCTTAAAGATATGGTTTGGCAGAAAACCTGATCTACACAATTTTCTTCTTCCCTCAGATTTGGTTAATGCTTGGTGACGTGTTTGGTGTCCAAATTTGGCTTCTTTAGTTTAGCACTGGAGCTACGAGGCTGACATTGCCAACAAACACTAGTCATTAACAGTCACTCACATCTTTTCCATAAATTCATCCCCAAATCTTCTCTCAACCCACTCAAACTGGATTCAGCTCATTGTGAAACCAAACTGACACGTCTGCACAACCTAAATGAACATCTGGATACAGTTTGAGCAAGTTAAGTAAGGTTTTGGGGATGTATTTACAGAAATGATTTGGGTGACTACTGACTTCTAGTGTTTGCCTGGTAGCTCCAGTGCTAAACTACAGAAGCAAAATTTGGACATCAAACACATCTTGGCTGGTCAACAACATCTGGAGTAAGTGGAAAATTGTGTAAATTTGATGTTTCACCAAATGATTCCATTAAGACTGACATTTGTGTTGCTGTATAGTGCTAAACAGTGAACTAGACAAGAACACACTGATGCTGTTGCTAATGTGAAGCAGTGAATGACCAAACAGTCTCAAAATGCTATCCTTTGCTAACAAAGCTAGTAGTATTGCTAAAAGTAACTCAACATAGTGAATGGTTTAAAATATGTGGCTCTCAGTCCTGGTCAAGAAAGGGCCTTGCCTCGTGTGATCTCTCCTGCAATACACGATTCACCTCATCAGCTAATTAACAAGCCTGTCCTGAATTAAAGTGGAAAATATTAAGATGTGTGAGGCCAGGTAGTCCAAACTAAGATTAAGGACCACTGATCTAGACCAGTCTACATCGACATGTTGTAGAGACTGATCTGATAATTCACTGCTAGCTTTGAATTTCAGGCAGGACAATATTGGTTTTGATCCATCTGACCAGAAGTGTGTTAACAGACTCCCTTCTTGATGGATGTTAGTCAATTTTTACAGTCAATCAAAAACAAGACCACAAATAAAATAAACATTTTACATTTTGAACTTGCTTGTTTGTACCATGGTATATCATATACTGCGCTATAGTAAATTATGCTTTTACAGTTCCTCTGTCTTTTATGAACTTTAGTTCATCCAGAACAAACGTACCATAAACAGTAATTGTGAAGGGATCTGATGTCACTGTAGGAGGAGGTTGAGGTCCTTCAGGTCCCAGATCCAGTTCTGCTTCACACCTGTACTGAGCTCCATCATCATCTCTGCTGGGGGAAATCTGGAGTGTATCTGACAGATTCACTGGAGTCTTAATGAGGTCAGTAAAGGTTACGTTTTTCACTAGAGTGTCTCCTTTGAACCAGCTCACAGTGAGGAACTCAACAGGAGCAACATTCTCAATGTCACACTGGAGCTCATACTGTCCACCCTCAATCATTGGCCCAGTGTGACCCACAGTGCTGATGGACACCCTGTCTGGAGTCTCTGTAGGAAAAGATTTGAGATTTTATCCACATAAATGTTTAATTAAGGAGAGTGAATAAGTAATATATCTGAGCGCAAACAGGTGAGACAGCGAATTACTGTAAATAGTGACGTGGAGATCAACTTTGCACTGCTTTTCTGGATTAGGATTCATGAAGCAAAATGGTTTTATGCCCCACTCCACAAGCGTGTCCACACTCCAGGTGATTAACTGGACATCATCCTTCATGTCCACTGGTCCCTGAGAGGCCTCCCAGCCTATTCCCATGTGGTCAACAGAGGTGGAACAGTTTGCTGAGGCTGAAGCTCCATATTCAGCCACCACTTCAGGAGGCTGAAGAGTAAGGGGACAAGGATCTGCAAAAACAGACTATAATTCATCAGCGTTCACAAGAAAATGAATCTACATCACTCTATTTTAATCCCTTCACCGCAAAACTTGGAGCAAGCAATTTGTTGTACCTTTGGTCTTGGATGAGTACTAAATTCTCCCACTAGCACCCACTCCCCACTACAAGCCACTCCCTTTACACCACGCTCACTACAGGACACACCTATTGTAAGACACACCCACATCAAGACATACCTTGAGAAGGACTTTCACTACAAATTCTTTATCTTCCTAAATACCCCCAATAGTTGTTCAATTATCACATTATTCAACTGGACTTCAAATCATTGTTGTTTCTTAAGCTTAAAGGTATGGTTTGGCAAAAAAATCTGATTTACACAATTTTCCACATATCAGATGTTGTTGATGCTTGGTGACATGTTTGGTGTCCAAATTTTGCTTCTTAGCACTGGAGCTATGAGGCTGATGTTGCTAACAAACACTAGACATCAATAGTCATCTAAATCTTTTCCGCAACCCATTTAAACAGCATTCAGCTTACTGTGAAACCCCATTGACAAGTCTGCACAACCTTAATGAAGACCTGGCTGCAGTTTGAACAAGTTGAGAGAAGTTTTGGGGAAGTGTTTACAGAAATGATTTAAGTGACTGTTGACTTCTAGTCTTTGTTACCAATGTTGGCCTTGTAGCTCCAGCGTTCATCTAAAGAAGCAAAATGTGGACACCAAACTCATCTTAGCTGACCAACAACATCTGGAGTAAGTGGAAAATTGTGTAAATTTGATTTTTCACCAAATGATTCCAATAAGACTGAAATAGACAAGAACACACTGATGCTGTTGCTAATGTGAAGCAGTGAATGACCAAACAGTCTCAAAATGCTATCCTTTGCTAACAAAGCTAGTAGTAATGCTAAAAGTAACTCAACATAGTGAATGGTGTAAAAGATGTGGCTCTCAATCCTGGTCAAGAAAGGGCCTTGTCTAGAGTGATCTCTCCTGCAATACACGATTCACCTCATCAGCTAATTAACAAGCTTTAGTTTGTCCAGAACAAACGTACCATGAACAGTAATTGTGAGGGGATCTGATGTGACTGTAGGAGGAGGTTGAGGTCCTTCTGGTCCCAGATCCAGTTCTGCTTCACACCTGTACTGAGCAACATCATCATCTCTGCTCGGGAAGATCTGGAGTGTATCTGACCGATTCACTGGAGTCTTAATGAGGTCAGTAAAGGTTACGTTTTTCACTAGAGTGTCTCCTTTGAACCAGCTCACAGTGAGGAACTCAACAGGAGCAACATTCTGAATGTCACACTGGAGCTCATACTGTCCACCCTCAATCATTGGCCCAGTGTGATCCACAGTGCTGATGGACACCCTGTCTGGAGTCTCTGTAGGAAAAGATTTGAGATTTTATCCACATGAATGTTTAATTAAGGAGAGTGAATAAGTAATATATCTGAAAGCAAACAGGTGAGACAGCGACTCACTGTAAATAGTAACTGCGAGATCAACTTTGCACTGCTTTTCTGGATTAGAATTCATGAAGCAAAATGGTTTTATGCCCCACTCCACAAGCGTGTCCACACTCCAGGTGATTAACTGGACATCATCCTTCATGTCCACTGGTCCCTGAGAGGCCTCCCAGCCCATTCCCACGTGGTCAACAGAAGTGGAACAGTTTGCTGAGGCTGAAGCTCCATATTCAACCACCACTTCAGGAGGCTGAAGAGTAAGGGGACAAGGATCTGCAAAAACAGATTATAATTCATCAGCATTCACAAGAAAATGAATCTACGTCACTCTATTTTAATACCTTCACCGCAAAACTTGGAGCAAGCAATTTGTTGTACCTTTGGTCTTGGATGAGTACTAAATTCTCCCACTAGCACCCACTCCCCACTACAAGCCACTCCCTTTACACCACGCTCACTACAGGACACACCTATTGTAAGACACACCCACAGCAAGACACATGTTGTAAAAGGATTTGACTACAAATTAATTATGTTCTTAAAGACCCTCAAGAGTTCTTCGGTTCTCATGTTATTCAGTTTGACCACCTCAACTCATTGTTGTTCCTTAAGCTTAAAGATATGTTTTGGCAGAAAACCTGATCTACACAATTTTCTTCTTACCTCAGATTTGGTTAATGCTTGGTGACGTGTTTGGTGTCCAAATTTGGCTTCTTTAGTTTAGCACTGGAGCTACGAGGCTGACATTGCCAACAAACACTAGTCATTAACAGTCACTCACATCTTTTCCATAAATTCATCCCCAAATCTTCTCTCAACCCACTCAAACTGCATTCAGCTCACTGTAAAACCTAATTGACATGTCTGCACAACCTAAATGAACATCTGGATACAGTTTGAGCAAGTTAAGTAAGGTTTTGGGGATGTATTTACAGAAATGATTTGGGTGACTACTGACTTCTAGTGTTTGTTACAAATGTTCGCCTGGTAGCTCCAGTGCTAAACTACTTTATACTCTTTTTAATGCAGATTTATGATTCAGTCATTTTGCACGCTATTGCTTGTAATGCCTAAATTGTGGTGTATCATTACTGGTACAGAATGCAGAAGCAATCACTGCATAGAAGAACATTCTAAGTATTCTGAATGCTGACTGGCACATTGTGAGGTGGAGTTACACAATGTGTTGGTATGTGCGAAGCTTTTGGAGGTTTATTTAGCAGCAAAGTTTTGCTTCATACTGAGACATGAAATGTTTCTCTTTTTTGACATACATGGATTTGTCAGTATTTGATCTTCAGTTAAATAGTATAACAAAAAACAATGGAAATTTGACTTTTCAATCAAAAAAAAAAAGAACTGCAATGTTATTTCACCTGTTGAAAAAGTAAGTACACCCCTGGCTTCATTAATGGGTACTGACTTTTTTGGCAGAAACAGTGTTATATAGGCATTTTCTATAACTCTCTATCAGTTTCTGACATATACTGGAATACATTTTTGCCCATTCCTGCACACAGAATTCTTGCAACTGTGCAATGTTTGAGGGGTTTCTTACATGTACAGCCTGTTTCAAATCCCACTATGACTTTTCAATGGGATTCAGATCTGGGCTTAGAATAGGCTATTCCACAATCGTTTTGAGCCATTCCTTGGTGGATTTACTTGTATGTTTGGGGTCATTATCCTGTTGGACGGTCCACATCTTCAGCTTTAACTATTTTACAGATGGTCTCACATTCTCCTTAAGCACTCTGTGGTATGAAAGAGACTTCATAGTGGATTCAATCACTGCGGGTTGGCCAGGCCTTGAGGCAGCAAAGTAGCCCGAAACCATAACGTGTTTTACAGTCGGTATGAGGTTCTTCTGTTCAAAAGCTGTTTTTGGTCAAACATGGCTTCTAGAAATGTGGCCAAACGATATTATCCTTGACTCATCTGTCCATAGTACATCGTTCCAGAAGTCCAGATCCTTGCCTACATATTCATCAATGTTGCCTCAATGTTGTTTTTAGACAGCAAAGGCTTCTTCCTAGCACACCTTCCATGTAGGTCAAATTTGTGCAGCCTTTTTTTAGTGATGGCTACATGCACTTTTACTTCAGCAGTGGCAAGATCTACCTGCTGATCCTGAGTTGTAATTTGGGGGTTCTTAGAGCCTTCTTTTGGCATCTTATGATGTGCTCTCAGGGTTAAATTAGCTTGGCCTGGGCTGGACAAGTTGTTTTAAATCTTTCCTCTTGCAGATGATCCTCCTGACAGTGAAATGATTCATTTCCAATATTTTCTTCTTAAACTCCTTCCCAGACTCACAGGCATCTACAACTTTCTTTCTAAAGGCCTATAAGAGCTCTTTTGATCTGGATATGATGATACCACGCACTCCAAAAACAAAAAGCAAACCAGACCAGAAATCTCAGATTTAAATAAAACAAGTTTCTCCAAGATATTCTACAAAACCTCATTAGGTGCAAATGATTTGCACCTAACTTACTTTTTCCACATAAGAAAATTGCATTGCTGTTTATTTCAATTATATAAAGGATGACAAAAATGTTAATTCTGTGTCACTTGTTAAATTATATGACCTTAATCTATCAGCACTGTTTACATGAAGACTTAAATCTGTATCTCCAAATATGTTGAAAAGTCGACATTTTTCATGGGGTGTACTTACTTCTTCACATGACTGTAGATGATGTCATGACATAACTTTTGCCCCAACCACTTTTGTGTTTATTATTTTAAATTTAGCAAACAATTGTAAAAAGTAATTGTGCATTACAGTGTGGAGGGGTGTGGTCTCTGAAGATGAAGTGTTAATGTATTTTCACTTAGAAAACAAGGGGGGTTCAAACCTTTGCATACGACTGTATATCATAAATCTCAAAAACTAAAAATAAAAAAATATATTTATACCCGCATAGTGTAAGTGGACCCAGCAAATAAGCGAAGTATTAAAGAATTAAGTGGAGTTTAATTGTGAATAATTGCGGGTATACAACTTTCATCTTAACTGAGACGTCTCAGTATGGAGAATGCATCAAGAGTGAGATGCTTAAAAAACATTTACAGATGTTAAGGTTGAAAACTTACTGCCATTTATGAGCACAATCAGCGCCAGGCCCGCCAGCTTTGGAAGCAGCAGCATGGCCCGTCCTGCCCTGAAGCCTGCAGCAGTGACAACAACGATGGTGAAAAGCCTCCTGATAAGATCCTGTCAAAAGACACGCTTTCTGCTTCTCGTATCGAGCAGGGTGTGAGTCAGCGTCTGTCTCTGAGAAGATTCTGAACCACTAAACAGGAAATCCTGCTCTATATGACAAACCTGCTTTGAGGAAGGAACTTTTGTTCGTTCTCAGAACCAGTCAAGTGTACAACGGCCTCCCATTCATGAAAGCATCATCGTTTTATTCAGCATAAAAAACTATATGTTTTATAACAAGCAGATAATAAATGTTTGCAAATAAGAAATAAATATTATACAGTTCCATATTAGAGAAGATTAAGTTAAAAAAAAATATTGTGGCACAAACAACACAAAATGCATTTCAGTAAAGCAAAAGTTACCATATAACATCATATAACAATATCAGTATTAATGAGACATTAAACTGCAATGCATCAATCATTGAATTCAAAAGACAGTTATTCAAAGACATTAAATTTCAGTACTGTGCAGTCGGGCAAAACAATAATTAAGCACAAGTTGTTCATTTTTCATTTATCAGTGTCAAAGGAAAAGCAGAACACATTTAACAGGAAATTACACAGAAAACTACATATAATATCCACTTTTTCAGTATTTAGTTTGTCTTTGCTTTTATGACAACTTCCATTCTTTTCACGAGACTCACTTTCAGTTTTTCAAAGAAATCTGTAGGGATATTTTACCACACCTCCAAAGTTTAGTCTTAGAAGTTGGTTGAACTTGTCATATTCTTTTATTTGATTTGCAAACATTCTTTTTTTTTGTCTGTTTCCTTTTCTCAGTAAGGGCTTCTTGAACTGCTACACATCCTTTCAGACCAAGATTGCTGAGTTGTCTCCTCACAGTGGAAGGATGAAGCAAGAGTGGAGCTTGATTTTCTCCTCCCTATCAAAGATGAAAACTTTAAGTACTGTTTATCTGATGGGGACTGTTCTGCTGCTCTTTCACATTGTTAGCAGTCCCATTTACTCTACGACTTTTATTAATCCTTTGAACTCCAGCTTTGGAAACTCCTGTTTTAATGACTTTTCATTTGACCTTCTCCTTCCTTATGCAAGTGTATAATGAAGGGTGGCCACTGACTTTACACAGTACTGTATGATCTACACTAAAGTTTACAACTACTTCTAGATAAAAAAGTACCTAAAGGATACAATCTTTAAATTATACAGAACCCAGTTTTGTGAAGCCTTTAAACTCTTATTGCTGTGTCCTGTATCTGGATGATCTCCCTATATGAAAATGTCCTGTCTGCTTCTCTTCACTAGATCTTTGTCCATCTCAGAACACATGTTCTCGTTAAATAGGCTTGATCATCATGGCGACCTTCTTCAAGGAGTACGAGCCTCCGTGGAACTCGGCCCAGTAGACTCCATCCTGGTAGCGGCTTCGGTAGTGCCCTCCTCTATACCACACCCCATTCAGGTTAGAGTGGGCACACATGTGGTACCACCAGCCACCCTTCTGGTAGTGAGCACAGTTACCTACGCAAAGACACATAGAAGAGAAAATAAATAGCCCATAGAATCTAGCATTATTAGACATTTGACTTACATTACCTAATTGTAAATATAATTGTAAAAATGTAATAAAGATAATTGTGATATAAATTGATTTAAATACACAACCGTTCAAAAGTTTGGAATCGCTTGTCACATTAAAAATTGTTATTCAAAAATAGCTTAAATAATGTAGATTGAATTGTTATAAATGTAAACCAATAGTTTGTTCACAATTTAAATAATTTTGTAATAAGCCGTTCTGACATGCTAATAAAACATAAATGTACTGTACTGGGCAGTCCTAATCTTGAATAATGCTTACATAAGCATCGCCCTCAGCAGTCACAAGGCTGATGTGGCCTCCCCCCATGTGGTATCTCTTTGATCGAGTCAGAGAAGCTTGCCAAGCAAAAGCTAACAACCAAGCGAAAGCTAACCTTGGAAGCATAACTAACTGGGAGTGTTGGACTGAAGTGTGGCAGTCAAGCATGCAGAAGTGGGTAGAATATTAGGACAATGAGAGTCTCTGTTCTGATCAACCATGTATAAGCAGTGTTTTATCCTATTTCTATCCTGTTTTATTTTTTATTCAGACTTTACTGGATGTTCACAGTACTCAATTTTAATATAATCCAAATATGTATTTATATTTTACTCTGAGACTTTAAGTCTAAGGGATGTACACAAATTGAGCTAAGAAGGGCTACCTGAGTACGCATCCTTGTCGCGGTCCAGAGTGGTGAAAGCTTTGTTGCTATGCCACGAGAGAGAGTCGCCGGCGTTGCCTTGGTAATTTCCCAGCCTCAGACGGTACCAGTCGCTCTCGGGCTCCACACGAAAGTTGTCATACTCGGCAAACACCTGCCGCCCCTGCCAGTCCTCCATGACCACTCTTAGCTTGTAGGAGGCCTGAGAGGTCAGCCAGTACAGGTGCTCCAGACCCAGCCAATACTCACCATCCAGATTCCCGAAGCCTTGCTGTGGGGAGGAAAACAAATGATATCACACTGTGCACAGAGTTATAAACAATAGTTTGACCAAAAATCTAATTTTTCCTTTTACTCCAATGTAGTCAGTCAGCTAAGACATGTTTGGTGTCTGAGGTTTTGTGATGAAGCTGTCAGCAATTCACTGTTTGGCCACCAGAGTACTAGCCCTGTTCCCAAATCAAATCACCTGTACCTCATCTCCTAATTAGTCACACATTAAATACTCCTCCCATTCAGTGCGAAGTATTGCCAGTTCCTTTGTGTCTGTCTTGCTGGTATTTTGAACCTCTGCTTGATCTATTGGATTCTGTATGTAGCTATCAAGTAATGGAAGCTTATAGCCCACCAATTAGCATCGTCCAAACTACATGCCTTAACTATCACAACTGCCTCAAACCATTTTGGGTTATGCTTTCCATGCAGTGCCAGAAACCACATAAGAAAATCAATTTGAGATCATTTAATATGAGGTTATTTAATGTGATGTGGTTTTAGGAATTAGTGGTGAATAAAACATGCAGTTTGTACAGGGCTGTTTGGTGGGGTATAAGCTTCCATTAGTTCTTAGCTACATTAACCATAAAACTAAAGGCACAAACTTAAGATTTAAGAAGAAAGAAAGTCTTAAGACACAAAATGTGTCTGGTTTGACTGACTACATTTGGGTAAAGGGGGGAAATTTTGTAGATTAAATTATTCGCTGAACTGTCACCTAAAAGTGGATACTGTGCTGATAAATTGCACTTTGCTCTTGTTTTCTGCAACAATCATGAATCATAGAAATCATCAATATTACCATTTTAGAGATGGTTTGCTCTGGGCTAAAACTAATGCTCAATAGAGAACATTCATCTTTGTCTGTGGTGAGGCGTTTTAGAACTATTTGAGACCCTCTTACAGAAATAGCCCTTCACTTATAAGCACTGCAGCTCGACTTACACAACTAAAAATCATAAATGAAAATGCCTACTTACACAGCACTGTGCAAAAGTCAGTGACCACCCTGCATTTATTTAATTACCAGTCCAAATGGCCATCAAGTACAAGCTTTACTTTTCTAAAATTTTCTAAAAATGTAATTTTTTCAGTACTGTGTCCACTCTTTACCTTATAACTTACATCATATAACAATATTAATATTAAAAAGACATAGTAAACTGTAAAGCATAAATTATCAAATTCATATTCAAAGACACTAAATTGCTCCTTATGTCCATCATCTGTATGATTTGCAGTGCTGTGCAAATGTCAGGCAAAACAAATATTAAGCACAAGTTATTCACTTTCCAGTGTCAAAGAAAAAGCAGAAAACATTCACTCACTGAGCACTTTATTAGGTACACCTACACTGTGTCTACCTTTATTACTCATTGTCTCAGTTCTATTTACCATATAGGAGCACTTTGTAGTTCTAGACCTGTTTTGGGACATCATGCTCCAGAACTTTTAAACTAACCTGTAAAATGTGCAGCTGCTACTTTTTTATTGCATAGGAGGATTTACACACCAACAAGATGTGCAGTGAGTCAGCAATGTTTGTTTGGTATTTGGTCAACGAAATAATGAGAAAAAAAAAACAAATGACAGAAAGTAAAAATGGAGATGTTCCCTTTATATCATAGTGGAACAGAAACACCTGTGGATCTTTTCAGATCTGAAGGAGCTTGATTTTCTCCTCTCGCTCAAAGATGAAAGCTTTAAGTGCTGTTTATCTGATGGGGGCAGTTTTGTTGGTTGGGTTATTTGGAGTTCCATTTTCTCTATGTCTCAATTTTTGAACAGTTTTGGAAACTCCTGTTTTTTTCACTTTGACTTTCTCCTTCATTATACACTGTTAGAAATAAAGGTTCTATGCAGGTACATTTTTCATTCATCAAGGTACAAACAATGTAAATGTTCCCTCAAAGGTACAGCAGTGGTTTTAAGGTCCAATTGTGTACCTTACATATGTTTTTCCCAGGTGAAAAGTTTGTATTTGTACCTTTTCATAACCGAATGTTTTAAAACAGAGCAATAAAATAAAAGCCTGGAGACGAGACGGGGTGTGTGGAGTCAGTACATCTTAGAAAATATCATTTCAATGGATTATGGTACAATTATGTTCCCTGACTAAAGGTACTGAGATGTATCTTTGAGGATCCCACCCCAGTGACAAGAGGGGCACTGCCCCAGTGACAGTTTCATACTTTTATATCTTGTATCTAATCTCCTCAGGAACATCTCCTGATATTAAAAAATTACTTTTACACAGTACCGTGTGTTACATCATAATGTTTACCTCTTTTGTTATACATCGGTATATTGCACACTTCATCCCCCTCAGCTGTTTCAGATGACACACCCAAAAACTGAGATGGAGAAAGAGGGTGAGGCAAGCTCACCTTATACTGCTCCCAGTTCCTGAAGAAGTTGACGGAGCCATCCTGCCTCCTCTGGATGACGGTCCAGCCGCCTTGTGCACGTCCGTGCTCACACCATGCCTGTAGCAGGCGGTTGGACTGGCGTGGGCGCAGCAGGTAGATTCCACTTGTAATTTCGCCAGAGTCCAGAACGTGCTGGCAGTCCCGCCATGGACCTGCAGGGGGAGACACATTCAGTGAGGTGTTTTGGGGTGATGACAGAGCTATATCTCATTCATCCCAGCCCTTTTCTCTTTCTTAGGTGGGAGTAGGGGTGGAGCTATGTGCAGCCCCACCACTTTTCTTCCTTTATGCATGGACCCTTAAGTGCAAGTTGGGAGTTGGAGTGGAGCTGGGAGCGGGCAATGTGACAGAATTTATTCTTATTGTGATAAATTATTTCACAATAAACTTTTCTGGGTGGACATTGTCAGTACTTAATGAGCATAACTGCATGTTTCCTTACAAAGAGAACATAGTTCAGCCCTGTTTAATTGGATTTAGAGCAGATCAGTACGTGAAACGTGGAATAAAAATCATCATCATACTCATAGTTTTTGACAGTGTTTTATGAAATGTGGCACTACTGGTTCTTTTTTCTCCATCTTACTGTCTTACCTAATTTATCGAACCTCCGAAAAACTAAACACATGCCACATAATGTCTTCAAGTATCATGACCCTATATTTTTACCACATTATCCACTCCTAAGCTCCAGGGTCGAACTAAATTCAGCCTTTCTGTGTAGTGTAGAATTTTCAGCTTGTCTGTTTGACGAGACTATTGCCACTGCTGAACGATACTGTCAGAGCTGGTTTATGGGGAGCCCATTCACCTCATGTTTCTCCCATTATACTGGAAAACACTAGAAGGCGCCCATTAAGTTCTCAATGAAGGTGGGTGAATGGGTGCAAACAAATGATCAAGGATTCACTATGATTTTGCACAAATGCTCCATAGGAACCCATTCATTTTGGACTTTCTCAGGAGCGCCCTCTTGTGTCTGACCATCCCGGAAAGTATTACTGAGCAGCAGTTCTCTTTAGTGGAAATTCTCTGGATACTGTATTGACTGTACGCTTCCTCAGCACTTAAATGTAGTGTTTTAGTTAAGGAATCTAGTCAATACAGCGTCCCTAGTAACTATAATTTCTCACTAATCATCTACATATATGCATTCAAAATTACATTAAAATTCAATTCAATTGCATTATTCCATGACACAAATCAGTCTAAATATTGAAAATATAGTATGTAATGGTTTGTGTTATCGCCAGTTTCATGATACTTTTGTCACAATATTGAGATGCTTGCAACTGTTGCGACAGGGTTTCAAATGATTTGCTTTACATTATGCAATTTAGTTCCATGTAGGTTTTAAGCAACTAAAGTCACATGAAAGTTTCACTGTGTAAGACCAGCCTAAGCTGTTGAAAGCTGGATAAATGAACACAGATTAAATATGACTGTGCATTTTAAAAACATGTGGAAAGAGAAATACTGCACTCGTACGCGTGCCATACTTTGCATCGACATCACAGAGGTTCAATAACTTCTTGTATAAAACTGTTCACAGCATAAGGCTGAATCGAATAGATCTGGTGTTAGCTTAGCTCTGAAGGAGCACCCTCTGTCATTAAAAGCCTCCTTATCCACCTTGAAAACCTGCTGTGCTCGTCCAGCGGCTTCCTTGGCTTCAATAATGTTACCATGGCTTCCACTGTCTTTTTGCTTTAAACTGGCTTACATTCATATATGTCCCACTGTCAGTACCTAAACTTTTGTGTAATAATAAATGTTCTGTTAGCACAACTGCTACAGATGCTACAACCTCTGTGCCCTCAAACTCACTTTGCATATTTTATCCCTGGCATAGTGCTTAGCAACTTGACCGCCACGGACTGACCATCCATACATTGACGGCTGGAATTTGTTTTTCTAAGTTGTTGGCTGGTATATGCTGATAATGAGTACGTGCACTAAGTGAGTGCTACTGACGGACTGCGAGGGAACTCTCTAATGAGTAGATGGTGTGGAGGAGCCAAGCAGATTACAAGGGAATGGCGTGGAATTCTGGTCTGTTTATCAAACCCCCAACAAGGTCATGCACTGTATACACGCAACCTATCTCTCAGCTTCCGCTTATCTGTTTTCTACAGAGGAATGTCCAGTGCTGTTCTCCCACAAAGCCCACAAGAAACATATCAAGCATCATCCTTTACCTTCAACATGTGCACAAACACAGAATAAGAGTTAGAAAAAGAAAAGAAAAAGGCATGTGGAAGTTTCTCAACCTGACTAGTCTGCAAAATGTTCCTCATTCAGCAGAAAATCACAATTACACAATTTTCCCAAATGTAGACAAACAGCCAAGACACACTTGTGGATTCTTATACTGTATTACATGCTGTTATCTATAAAAATGGACAAAAACACGGAGAAAATTCAGACTTGAAGACGGATGCTTCTGCTGTTTTAGCTATGCAGTGTGCTTTTGTCCATTTATATTGATAACAGGACGTCATACAGTGTCAGAAATCAAGTCTACTTGAGATTATCTTTTTTTTTGTTTTGCATTACACAACTTTACCAGTCTTTTGTTGCCCCATCCCAACTTTTTTGAAACATGTTGCTACAATCAAATTCAAAATGAGCATGTATTTTTCAAAAAGCAATACAATTTCTCAGTTTAAACATTTGATATGTTGTCTTTTCTACTATTTTCAATTAAATATAGGGTTTAAATGACTCGTACGTCATTGCGTTCTTTTTTATTTACATTTTGCACAGCGTCCCAAAATGTTTGGTCCTAATTTGGTCTTTGGTCCTAATATTCACAGCCTTCCTTCATATTCGTAGTCAAAACAATGATACTTGAATTATGAGTCCAGAAAAATGTAACGTTTTTAATGACTCACAGGTAGAGGCCAGTGTGTCCTCATTAAGACAATATCTTTCATCTTTGTAAACTTGGAGCTTCCACAGCACATAAGATTACTTATGCAAACAGCATTTATCAGTTAGCCATATTTGTCACATAGTATTTTCTTATATAAAAAAAACCAATATCACTTAAAATGAATTAATTTTCAGGGTAAATATTTTAAATGAAAATATGACATAGCACAAAATATCAAAGTGTCATTTGTAATCCAGGTGACTCTGATGACCTTGGTTTGAATACTTTTGCAAGGCACTGTATAAGTTTTATATTTTTTAGCAGAAAACATATATTTAACTGAAGCATAAACAACTATGTATAATAACAAAATTTTCAGTATTTTCAGGAGACTCACTTTCAATTTCTCAAAGAAATCTGCAGGGACGTTCCTCCACACCTCCAAAGTTCAGTCTTAGAAGTTGGTTGCATTTTCTGCCTTACTCAAACCAAGTAATCCCAAACACAGTCAGTGATATTGAAGTCTGGACTCTGGGTGGTCAATCTAATGTTCTGAGAAGATCAGCAGCTTCGTTGTTTGATTTGTTAATGTTCTTCTTTTGTGTCTGTCACCTTTTCCTGTAAGAGCTCCTTGACAGCTACACATCCTTTTAGACCCACAGCGCTGAGTTGTCTTCTCACAGTGTGAGTTCTCCTCTCTCTCTTAGATGAAAGAGGACAGTTTTGATGGTCTACCACATCTTCCATGGTTGTTAGGAGTCTCATTTTCTCTATATCTTTTTAGATATTTTTGAACTCCGTGGTTGAACTTCAGTATTTTCCTTTGACTTTTTTCTTCTGTTTGCAAGTGGGTTATCTTTTATCTAATCTCCTCAGAAATATCTCCGGAAAAAACGAATAATGAGAGTTAAATTGATAGTTTGACTAGGATTTAAATAAATGAAGGGCAGTCTCTGACTTCTCACACCATAACTGACCATAACATGTCTTTGGCACTCATTGCTGAATCTATGGCCTGTATATTTTCTCTGTTTTCCTTTGATGAATACCCAAATGGTGTTTTCAGTACTCAAATATAGGCACCTTGAATAGTGAACCGAGCATGAGTACCCTTGTACTTCTCTATAAGCAAGTCTACATGACAACTCTAGGCAATTCATGGCAAGTGTGTAATGATTTAGGCAGGTGATTTGCACAATGCCATTAAGCTTCTATCACTTGTTGGCCTTGTAGCTCCAATGCAAAACTAAAGAACCACATATCAGGCATGTCTTGCCTGAATGATTACATGAAGTGCCAATTTTGTAAAATAGTAATTTGCCCAACCATAACTTCATCAGACAGTTGAATGGCACAAGCTAAGATGCACAAAATGCAACAAAACCTCAACCACTTTACTGGTATTCCCCCTCTGTTCTCTGTCTTCCTGTTGCCAGTACTGTGTCTGGTAGCTGTAACTTGTGAAAAGTGGGGCTGTTAAAGGAGCCACCTTAGACTATTTGCTCTCTACTCTCAACAATCAAATAGCATGATGGCTGTAATCAAGTTTACATTCAAAGTACTTTAAGCAGAGTGGTGATTACATTTTCCGTGTGTATGTGTGAGTGCTGGACACAGCTGCCTCTGGTCAAGCTCTGTTTAATCATTCTGTGGGTTAAATGTCACTGACACAAAGAGCTTCCACAGAGCACATGAGGAGCATAGACTCTGCATACACAGTAAGGTTTAAAGCCCAACTCAAAATTAAAGTCTTTGGTTTTGAGAGAACTGTTGTAGCATGGGATTTTTTAAGTACTCGTGTGTAGACAAAATATGCTATGAGGTTTATGAATAATAAAGCATGTTGTCCTCTGTGTGCTGCAAAATCTTTGCGCTGCTGATATGCAGATATTTTAGTCTCTTGACAGCAGTGATGTCACCTAAAAGGTAAGATTGTAGCCCTGTGTTCATTTTGGCCAAAGTCCTCTTAAAGGATACTCAAATATCAAAATTAGTCAGAAATCACATTCTTAATAAGTATAAATTGCTAAAACATTAATAATTACTAAACAAACCTTGTCTACTCTCATCTATGATTCTTAAACCTGCTTGCACTTAATAATATAGCTCTCAATTCAGTTGCTGTAGCTTTTCAGCATCACTGATCTTATATTTAACACCCCTCCCCAGCCCATTTTTATACATCATTTATTCTAAAATTGGGGAACAGCTTAAGACTACCCTGCATAAAAACCAGCATTGTCCATCACGGTGGTCACCAGCAAAACCAGCATATGTTGTGTTTTGGATGCTGGTCAGGAACAATGGAAGTTGATATGCTGATCACCACCAAAACCAGGATATGTTGTGTATTGATGCTGGTATGCTGGTCAACCAACATAAACCAGAACCAGACCAGCACTAGACCACTTTGAACCAGCATAGACCAACTTAGACCTGCATAAAATGCTTCCTGTTCAGCAGAGTAGTAGGCCATAAATTAATCTGGAATTTTCTTACCTCAGCCTCGCTTTGGATTAAAGATGAAATGAGCATAAAGTGTCAGAAACCACGCAACTACATCTATTTGTGATTATTTAAGGAGACAGTCTGGCCAAAATGAAACATGTAAACATGCCCACTCACAGTGGTGCTACAGTGGTCTCTAAAGTGAGATTTGGCCAAAATGAACACAGGGCCACAATCTTACCTTTTAGGTGACATCACTGCTGTCAAGAGACTAAAGTATCTGCATATCAGCAGCGCAAAGATTTTGCAGCACACAGAGGACAACATGCTTTATTATTCAAAAACGGAGATAAATTGGTAATTTTCATGCTGAAGAGCAAAGGAGGCTGTCTTAGATCAGCTAATGAGCTAATCTAGAGCTAACGCGAGCTCGCCATATTCAACACGAGGTCTTTTATCCCCAGAAGACTTTGCGCCAACATGTTAGCTGCAATATTTCTGCCATCTCAATCACATCCTTAACAACACATTCTTGACAACATGCTCACACTAAGCCACACTTGCTTTGCAGTAGTGTTGACAGTGTTAACAACAAAGTTACTTTTTTGTGATGTCATTTCAGTGTGAAGGAGTGTTATGTGTATGTTAGTGTAATGCCGAGGGTCCAGTGACACCCTGGGAAATGACACAGACGAGGCCAACAACTTAAGAGATCTTTATGAAGTAATATTATCTACAAAAATGGACAAAAGTACACAACACAGACAGATAGAGTAGTAGCATCTTGAAGCCTCAATGTTGGCTGCACTTTTGTCCACCTAGGCTTAATAACCTAATATGGTGTGTAAAATTCGTATTGGTTGCTATAAGCTTCCATTTTTTGTTAACTATGTTCGCCGCATAGCTCCAGTACAAAACTAAATAAGGAAAATTCAGACACCAAACATGTTTGGCCAAACCATTATTTTAATATTTCGAGTAGATTTAACTGTACCTGGAGTCTTAGTGACAGGGAAACTGATGAACGGTGCGTCTGTAGGAAGCTCTGATGATGGAGTAAAGAACTCTTGAACTTCCTGTAGTGTTTCCTCCTTGTGCAGGGAGGCGCTCTGGTCCCTTTGAATGTTGCTGACTGCAGATTTAGACTCAGAGCTGTTCTGCAGTCTTTCGGACAGCTCGGCTTCCTGTCAGGGTCATGATAAATTTATATATGATTAATAATATGTGATATAACACTCTATTGCATATATCGTTTGATAACTACTGAGACTGATGTGTTCATATGGCTGTCGGACGGCTCTCACCTGTGCTTTGATGGCGTCGCTGAGCTGGCAGTGTTTCTCTAAGCGTATCACCAGCTGACTCTGGTTGCTCACCAGAGTGGCAAGGGCCTCATACTTCCTCTCCAAATCCCTATAGTTGTTGGTTAGCTGTAGCACCTGAGGCCATTCCAGACCAAAGGAGCAGAGATGGAGTAACGGATCAGAGATCAGGGTGGAAGTAATGTTGAGTGTATAAAAAGTGAGTGTATGAAATCTAGTATGGGCCAGTGAGCATTATCTATAATACTCTTTCCCAACTCCAGACCTGGACATCCACTACTCTGCATTGTTCTGTGTTTTCCTTGCATCTGAGTCATACGATGACCTAATCACCAAGTCCATCTTGAGCTCAAACTATTCTCCATCCTCTGACTTGTTAGTAATGATAGCAATCTGTATAATAATGGAACTTTACCCCTCAAGCCATATTTTTCTGTAGTTTAGGACATACCCTAGCCCAGTGGACACCAGCCCTCTACTGTGAAATCTCCCTCCAACCCAAATCTAACACACCTTATTCAGCTAATCAAGGACTTCTGAAAGCAATTATTAAGTGGATGAGGTGGGGTCAACTAGGGTTGGAGCCCAAAACAACTGTGTTAATGTTTTTAGGCCCACCTAAATATTCTGTAGGTTTTGGGGATTTAGAGACCTCTCTGGTGGGAATGTGTAATTGCACATAATATGCGTACATTTTGTAATGTCGGCTTCAGACCCTTTGTCCACCAACTCATCCCGCAGTTTTTGAGATATCAACACTGTTCCCTCTCCAGAATGTTTGGTCTGATTGGGAATGGCGTGCTTGTATACAGCTTTTTGATTGGGCATATGGTCCTCAGACAATTATCACTAAATGATTAAGTACCAACACCTTAGTGACCACTTCAGTTGCCATAGCAACCACCCAGCAATACCCTAGCAATACCCTAGCAACACACTGGCAACCATCTAGGATAGCATAGGAACCATCTAGCAACACCCTAGCAACCACCTGGGATACCATAGCAACCACTTGAAATACCCTAGCAAGAACCTAGCAACACCCTGGTAACCATCTAGGATGCCACAGAGGTCACTTGATATACCATAGCACTTAGCAACAACTTAGCAGCTATTTGAGATATTATAGCAACCGTTTAGCAACACCTTAGCAACCACTTGGGATACTATAGCACCCACCTAGGACCACCCTAGCAACCACCTGGGATACCATAGCAACCACCTAGCAATACCTTAGCAACCACCTGAGATACCATAGCAACCACTTAGCAACACCTTAGCTACCACCTGGGATACCATAGCAACCGCTTAGCAACACCTTAGCAACCACCTGGAATATCATAGCAACACCTTAGGAACCAGCTAAAATACCATAGTAACCTTCTAGAAGTTACTCTGCATTTTCTTCAGGAAATACACTTTTGTTAGTAATGATATTTTGATGAATTTTTCTCCTACTTTTTGCCACTTTTGTGTTTTTATTTATTCATTAAATCTTTGGAAAGGTTTATATTTTTACAGTAAAGTATTCAAGAATATATTTTTGAAAATGTTGCATGGTTTGTTACTGTGCAATTAGGTCCATTTTTATTGTTTGGCCTTTTTCGTTTACTCATTTAATTGCTTAAATATCATAACCACTAGTTTTAATTATTAATATAATAGAGAACAGCCCCATTTCAGGTATGAGCACATAACAGGAGCTCCTTCCATGCTTTTTTCTACACTGTTTTGCAAATTTAGGACTACCTGTGAGGTTGCGTTCAGCAGCTGGCTCTCCAGACGTCGCTGCTCCAGTGCCTGGTCCTGCTTGTGGATGATCTCGTGCAGCAGCTGGGCATACAGCTGGGTGATGCGGGCATTCATGCTGCTGCTCTCTCGCCGCAGCACGCTGACCTCGCTCGCCAGCGCCCCCTCCTGCTCCAGCCGCCCGCGCAGGATCTCCAGCTGCTGTTGCTGCCGATCAAGCAAAGCTCGCAGGGCGACCGTCTCTGAGCTGTTGGCCCGGGCCGTCTCCGTGCTCACGCACAGCGCCCCCTTCAGCTTCTGCTGGGGAACGATGAAGGTGTAGGAGCAGCGTCCTGCTTTCTGCTCAGATGAGCGTGACGGACGTTTCTGAGCACCCTCACTTTTGGAGCTGTCACGACCCTCTGCACCCAACATCACCAAACCTACCAGCAGCAGTAAAGCACATGATACCTGAGGCTCCATCGGTGTGTCCAGTGGTTGCTCCTTTCAGCTACTGTAGGCCTCTCTGAGAAGAAAGACACTTATTCAATATATTTGTCATATCATATTCTGTCCCAAACAGGCCTGACCTCCACTTTGTCTCCACCTTCTCCATTAAAAGAGTTTATCAGAAGAATTTGGCCCAAGCCTATTTCTTATTTTTACCCCTTCCCCTTGTTTTCGAGAGTCACCTTGCCCAGTTACTAGGGGTAGTGGTTAAAATCTTCCCGTAAGAAATGGGACCATCATTACTTCATTAACAGGCTACTAGTGGTGCTCTGTAGGCGACCCTGCCAGTCTGATAGCAGAGGAGGGTAAAGTTCAGTAACGTCACTGCTGGGCTTTAGTTACATTTAAAGAACCAAATGCCTTCAAAAAGGGGGGGTGCGACATTTATTATTGCCCACCCCTAATTCTTCAGTGATATGAAGCTGAAGTCAGCTATTCACCAGCTTCTTGTTTGAATTTTCCTGTTACACCTTAAATAGTGGAACAGGAAATTGAGCTGGTTATTGTAAATTCTCAAGAGAGAAAATATTTAAGTTTATTTGGTCGCTCGTGCACCCATCTTGCTGGTTTTTATTTATATTTTCATAACACTCTTTTTGGAGTGTGCCTCTGAAAAACCTCAATTTGGAGAGCCATGTAGCCCTAACACTTTGCCCTACCTCAACAGAAATCAGGACACCCTACCCATAACGTGCAAAATGGAGATGTAAGGGCTAAGTGGTAGGCACAAGGGGTGAAACGGGATTGGGCCTTGGAGTGCTCAGTCAGCTGTAGCAGCCTGCCCATGACCCTTCACACTTATATTGTCATTATATATATAGCATTATATCCTTCAGCTTCAGTTTGCCAGAATTCATGATATTTTATCTTTTTTGTGCTCTCTCACTACAATACCCAGCATGCATTATTCAATTATGCTATTTGATCATTGGGAAAAAAGTGCCCTTGAAAAAAGTGCACAACTAGCAAAAAACACAGTCTTTCTGATTGTAGCCCAAAGGTTCTGTCGCAGTGATGCATGCCAGATGTCCCTAGTTAACTCTGGGAGGCCTAAGCTTATTGCTGGCTTAATTAGCAAGTCAACATGAGCAAAACCATGGTCAACAAAACAACAGCCCGAGCCAACACTCTCCCCCATTCCATGGTTCAGAGTCAATACACATCCAAATTGAAAGCTTCCGCATAGATTTGCTTTGAACGTCACACTTATTGTTCAGTCGTTGCCCTTAAGACTTATTTTTCAGCAATTACTATGAATTATTCTGTAACTACAATGAAACTAATATTTCAATAGTGTAAACATGAGAGTGAGAAACTGAAGCATGGGCCACTTACATACCCTTAGGCCCAGTCCCGTGGGCATGGATTAAGCCTAGTCTAGGGCTAAATTGCAAGATTGATGGTAAATCATTATTGAAAGCCATTTCAGTCTAGGATAAAGCCTAATCTGGGTCTGGGGAGCCAGGCTTAATCTCCATAATGTAAATAGTATCAGACAACATGATTTTGATTGAAGGTTTTAACTATAGACCAACTGATTGTCATAAACTTTTTGTCATGATATATATATATATATATATATATATATATATACACACACACACAGTCGTATACAAAGGTTTACATATTTTGTTGTTGATTTTCTAAGTGAAAATAAGTTAACCCTTCCTGTACAGAGAACACACTTCACACACTTAACATACAGTCTTCAAAAATACATATAAAGAAAAGAATATTTTCATTGGAAAAATATATAAAAAATATAAATGTAAAAAAAATTGTGTTGCCTGTACAAAAGTTATGACACAACTTATGTTTTATTTTATGTTTTATGTTAAACTCAGCAAATAAACAAAATTGTGCACAACATTTGCAGAAAAATGCCAGATTGCCTCACCTTCGTATGAGGAAAGCCAGAATATCCCTGTATCCCTGTTGGTGTCCAATGAGAAGGTCAATCAGCGCTTAAGTTGAGATTGGGTCAGACTACGCTCTCGATCTTCAAACTGCAGTTTTAGGCTTAGCTAAGAAACAAGGAACCCTTTGCTTCAAAATGAAGAATTAAATGAAGATGAGGAAACGGCATGTGGTCGAATCAGTACATCAGTTAGGATGGTTATCTTGTGTCCTCTACAGTCAGAGAACTACTCTAGTCCTGCCCTGTTCAGAGAGATTCGCGAGTGCGGAGCAGGATGGGAGTGAGCGTCACCCTGACAGTGTGGCTTTAAAGTAGCCAGATCAGCCGCTGTCCTGAACTCTCTAAACAAAGAGAGGCGAATAATTACAAAGCAGCCTAATAACACCTCCTCCCTCCTCTCAGCTCCCAAACGGCCCTGACCTCCACTCTGTCTCCAACTTCTCCATTAAGACGAGTTTATCAGAAGACTTGGAGTGCTCAGTCAGCAGTGACGGCCTGCCCACGACTAGCTGTTTGACTTTACTAACATAGTCCACAGGTCAATGTGCGTACACTTATACTGTAAAACATAATAACTGCACTAGCTTAGTTTTTCGTGTTTACTTTACTTATCAATGCTGTCGGGACAAAACCTTGTATCTCCATTTTTGTCGTTTTTCAGTTTTTGATATAATTTGAAAGTGCCCATTGTCCTCCACATTGTGTGTAAATTTCATGATAAATGGACCAACGGAAATGACCCAAAATTACTTGGAAAAATGTCTGGTTCCACTGACTTACATTAAAAGTAGAGTATTTTTTTTCCCTCTCCTGTAAAGTTTTCATATTGGAGATATGAAGTTTTGTTCCGACAACAGCGTTATTTTACAAATATATCACAAAGCAGTATTTCTCAGTTTAGCCAGAGAAATTAAGCCCAAAGTCAAGCCTGTCCAACAGGAAAAGAGCTGAGGGACATTCCTGTTGGACAGTCTTTATCTTTGGGCTTAAAGACTAACTCCACCCCTGGCTCAACTTTGAAAAAAGCTCAAAAATGGGAGGGGCACTTCTTTGATATACAGGTTTGGAGGTGGGGCTGGGAGGGAAACTGGGTGGGCTGGGCTGCTGTGTTTTTATAGCTAACGTTAACCACCATGAAATACGGAGAGTGACAGAATCAAACAGCACTTTTACAACTGAGAGGTTATGAGGTTGATGATTTTCCTCTACTACCATCCCTTTCCTGAGCGAGGGAAGGTGTTTCTGATCAGGCAGTGCGTCTTGAGCCTTACCAGTATGAGCCACTGACTCAAGCTGCCGAAGAGCTAACGTAGTGCCAGAAAATGATTGAGTGAGCGGCAGAGGTGCCAGAACGGTAGAACATTCCCTAAAACTGTAGCAGGTCCATGTTTGATATAACCCACATCCTGATTTCTTAGATGTACTGAATTCTGAATAAATAAAGTGGATTCCTTTAAACTTTGTCTAAATTTAATTCTTTTTGACATTAAGCTGTGAAAAATGCTATTAGGCCATGAGGGTACCATGTCCTTCTATACAGGTGCACTTGTGGGCACTGTACAAATCTCACACTTGCAGTAGGGAGGTGGCCGAGTATGTTAATGCAGAAAAAGCTAACCCAACCATTGTAGCCCAAGATGGTTGGTTATGAGGGTTTTGAGATGTGCTTACATTTCAAGCAAGGCTGGTATATTTTATTATCACAGAGCAATGCATTTCAGCTGTTAATGGAAAAAAGGTCTTAGGGTGTAGTTAGGGTGTGTAAATACCCCAGGTAATTTGGATGGCCCCTGGAGACTGAAGAGTCTTTTGTCCAAAAGGCTTCCCAGCATTTTTTAGCTAGTTTTTTTTCTGTTAAATACCTCTTTTAATATAACTCTCTTTGCAAAATGTTATTTTGTGTCATAGCGTATTCTCATGTTAAATGAGAGGCTTGGATGCATTTTACATGTTGTTGTTATTCTCACCATGATGGTGTTTTGTGTTCAGGTTTACCAGTTCAGCCTGGAGCCATGAACACTAACAGAATGGCAGATGTGCATTAAGCTATTCAAATCCTCTGAAATGGGTGATTCTAGTTTAAGCTGAGACATTTATTTGTTACTGTATGAAACAATGGAGTTGTTTTAATTGATGCCAATACATTACATACGGTAGAGTCTTTGATTCAAGTTAGCCCGACTAATTCACAGTAAGCAGAACTTGAAAAAGTAGAGCACTGGACACCATTTAAAAAGATGGGGCAGTTTGAGTTAACTTTAATTACTGCAGAAGTGAGGATCACTGAAAATTAGGAAGTAGCTACAACTCATGTCTGACGTTATTTAAGATTGAACCTGTTAAGTGAGTTCACTTATTTTTCCACTCATCAGTTTGCATGAATTTTTAAGTAAAGTTAACTAATTTAAGTTTACAGGGTGTGTAAACCATTTAAAGAGCCCATATCCTACATTTTATTTGTCATAAAGTCCCCTTTATGGACAGTTATGTGGTTTTATGTTCCAAAACATTCATAATTCAATGAATTATTATTTCATGATCATTTTCCAAACTTCTCCTTATCTCAAGTCAGTCAAGTAAAAGTTCACTCTGACAGATTTTTGCAGGAAATGATGTCATTACATAAAGCATTTTTTAGGGTCAATATAATGACAAACTGAATTTCCCTCACTCTTTTGAAATAAAGCTTTAAAATGTACCATTAAATCCTCCGTCCATACCGTCCACATATGGACGCTTAGTTTCAAAGTGGCATATTATACCAATTCAGCCTATAGCAGTTTAGCCCCACCCATTCATGTTGATGTTTTAAGGATTTCAGCTCTCAGCGCTTTTTGCACGAGGCACAATGCAGGGCAGCCAATCAGAACAGAGCTCATTTACAAGCTCATTTATACATATTAGGCTTAAAGACACAATAACAGAAACAACCAGTTTGATTCTAAGGGATGAAGAGAGATCAGAAAATGGTCATATAAAAAGGAATTATGACCATTATGACCATTTTTCTTACATAAAACCACACAAGTGGACACAAGTGGTCCTCAGGGGCAAAGATAAAGTATTTATGAAATATAGGATATGAGCCTTTTAAAACTTGCTGTTTTTGTAGCTGAAATTCCACATCTGGACTGTATGGAGTGAATGAGACATTTTGAAACTTTAACAGCATATTAAGCTCTTTTATTTTAAAAGTGAGTAGAATGTGGATTCCTATTATAAAGGCTCTATAAGGCGTCTAGTGGAAGAATAAAATGTGAAAAAACATCTGGTTCTGTAATGTGTAGTCAAACAGAAAGACTTCTATTCAATCATTTTTCCTTTTTAGCAACAAATAGGCAATTAATGAGGTTTCAGAGTGAAATGAGATCTAAGATCTCCAAATGAAACAGAAGAGCATCCAAACACTGCACCCAGATGTTCAGCCACAAATACATCTTTGAGAGTGAAAAGTAATTATTTTGCCAGATGTTTTATAAAATGCAAAAAAAGTGTATTTTTACTGCTACTGTGCCTTAAAGAGGAAATCCACTTTTTAGATATTCTGCATAGTTCAGTCATTGAGACGTAAACGAAGTCATTCAGAGTGGTTTGGTGTGAAATGCTCAATTCTAAAGAAACTTACCAAGTTAGAATTGTTTACAGTGGTGGTGATAGGAACCAGAGGGCCGCAGCATATATGATCGTTTTGAGATAAGCCTTTTGCCTAAAAATTGTTTTTAAAATGCATGCAGCACACTGCGAGGCACTGCTGTGTCTGATCCACTCAGACCAGCGCAACACAAACACCACCACCACATCAGTGTTACTGCAGCACTGAGAATGATCCACTACCCAAATAGCAGTGGTGGACAGTAACAAAGTAAATGTAATTAGTTACTGTACTTAAGTAGTTTTTTCCTGTACTTTACTGAAGTTTTTCCATTTTGAGTGACTTTTTACTTTCACTCCACATTTCAAAGTCAAATATCTCACTTTTTACTCCACTACATTATGATAAATATGTCGTTCCTTTTGGTTTATGTGTGCATAAAACGTAACATGTCAAAACGAAAGAAGTGCAAAGCAAGAACACCAATCAGGGCACAGAGCGCACTTTGTTTTGAGCTTGTTTTGACCTGTTGGTCATACCGACCCAGTGCAGGCATATGGTTCAACGTCAGTGCAGCGGCGTAAAATTTTGGGAGTGTCTATTCAACATAAATGATGGCAGAAACTCCCAACTCTAACCTAACTTTGTGTAGAAAGACCACAATATAGAAATATGTACACATATCAAGTTGTGACTGACGTGTCTTTTTTCAGAATTTATACAAACACTTTCATTTTATAGTAAATTAGTTTTGGCTGGTTGATGTTTATGAACAGAGACCTACAGATGCAGTTTAGTAAAGGAAAACTCATTTGTGATTCTGAGTTTAAAGCAAGTTTTTATTAAACTTAAACTTGTAACCAAGTTTCAAATAAATCTTAAACTGAAACTTTGCTTGTTCACAAAAAGTGATTTCAGAGCCACTCAGTTCTACCTGATGGAAACTGTTTGCCTTCAGTGTTTTGTGCTTATGATAATTTTAATAGACATCAGCGTCACTAATTAATGACATTCTATTAAAAGACTGGTTTACCAAGAGAGACACTGGAGTATTTTCACCTACAATCAGTTAATGAGGAAGAGTCTTCTTACAAAAATGATAATAGGTCATCAGAGCCATAATTAATCTTTTAGTACTTTTACTCAAGTGGAGGTCTAAAGGGAGGAACTTCTACTTTTACTGGAGTAATATTTTACCTTGGGTATCTCTACTTTAGCTCAAGTACATGGTTTGTGTACTTTGTCCACCACTGCCAAATAGCACCTGCTCTGTGAGGGTCCATGGGGGGTCCTGACCACTGAAGAACAGAGTAAAAGTGGGCTAACAAAGTATGCAGAGAAACAGATGGACTACAGTCTGTAACTGTAGAACTACAAAGTGCACCTATGTAGTAAGTGGAGCTGATAAAATGGACAATGAGCGTAGAAACAAGGAGGGGGTCATAATGCACAGTAGAGGTCTCCCGTCCAGTAGGTGGCGATAGAAACAGCGCCGCGCTTCTTCTCTGCGGGTTTTTCAGTTGTGTCCCACGTGTGTCGGAGGGCTCCGTGCTGTCCATCGTGGGCTGAAGCTGCACTGAGCTGAGCTGAGTATGAGGGCTGCTAGTGGAGATGGAGGATACCAGCAAAACAAGTGACCTGAGCAGATTTAGAGCGAGTCTTTACTCACATCTCCTCTCTTAAACAGCCACGACTTGATTTGTTGATCTAAAATATGGGGAAAAACAAGGTAAGTAGCACTGAAAGGCTGACGAGCTCAGCTCGTAAGCGAAATGCTAGGTTAGCACGTTAGCTCAGGATCCTTCATCGCTAAATAGTTCGGTTGTTTTAATATGTTTAACGTTCCTGTATGCTTGAAAAAACAATTACAGGTCATTAGTTAATAATTACAGGTCATTAGTTAATAATTACAGGTCATTAGTTAATAATTACAGGTCATTAGCTACCCACTGGTAGCACTAGTTGTTCACTATCGTGGCCAATAGGTTAGCTTAGCATGCTTCTCTTATCATTTTAATTGAATAGAGAGTGATACAGTTTTAAAGGGGAACTCCACCAGTTTTTCAAAAGTCACACATAATTAAATGGTAAAGTTGTTCGGAGTGGTTTGGTGTGAAATGCTTCGTTCTAGAGAAACTTACCGAGTCAGAATTGTGCGCAGTGGTGGTGATAGGACCCTGCTTTAAAAAGGACATTAGGATTAAAACCTGATGCTTTTGCTTTCTAACGGACGTTAGATTGATGGTTACCGTTAGAGACCACTAGTTTCCTGTAGGACACCTTTAGATCCCATTAGGAGACTATCAAATGCATCTGGAATCAGTCCATAACACCTGGTGTCCATTGGAATCCTTTACACTGTGATATATGTAGGTTAGTTACTTTACTGACTACTGGACACCACCAGGAGCCAACAGAAACTTTTAATGGTTTCTATGACTTTTTTCAGCAGGGAAACCAGACTTTAATGCCTCAAAAAGCCCCATCAGAGAAAGTTACAGTGGTGTGAAAAAGTGTTTGCCCCCTTCCTGATTTCATATTCTTTTGCATGTTTGTCACACTTAAATGTTTCAGATCACCAAACAAATTTAAATATTAGACAAAGATAACACAAGTAAACACAAAATGCAGTTTATAAATGAAGATCTTTATTATTAAGGGAAAAAGAAATCCAAACCTACAGGGCCCTGTGTGAAAAAGTGATTTTTTGGAAGGTGTATGTCCCGTTACATCTGGCGTAGAAGTAACACAGCATTTCAGAAAAGGAACATCATACCAACAGTAAAATATGGTGGTGGTAGTGTGATGGTCTGGGGCTGTTTTGCTGCTTCAGGACCTGGAAGACTTGCTGTGGTAAATGGAACCGTGCATTCTGCTGTCTACCAAAAAATCCTGAAGGAGAATGTCCGGTCATCTGTTCGTGACCTCAAGCTGAGGCGCACTTGGGTTCTGCAGCAGGACAATGATCCAAAACACACCAGCAAGTCCACCTCTGAATAGCTTAAGAAAAACAAAATTAAGACTTTGGAGTGGCCTAGTCAAAATCCTGACCTGAATCCGATTGAGATGCTGTGGCATGACCTTAAAATGGCAGTTCATGCTCGGAAACCCTCCAATGTGGCTGAATTACAACAATTCTGCAAAGATGAGTGGCCAAAATTTCTCCACAGTGCTGTAAAAGACTCATTGCCAGTTATCGCAAACGCTTGATTGCAGTTTGCTGCCCAACCAGTTATCAGGTTTAGGGGGCAATCACTTTTTCACACAGGGCCCTGTAGGTTTGGATTTCTTTTTCCCTTAATAATAAAGACCTTCATTTATAAACTGCATTTTGTGTTTACTTGTGTTATCTTTGTCTAATATTTAAATTTGTTTGGTGATCTGAAACATTTAAGTGTGACAAACATGCAAAAGAATAAGAAATCAGGAAGGGGGCAAACACTTTTTCACACCACTGCATTACACAAAATGGTTATGAATACGCTGCTTGATGCCTGAGACATTGTTTCACGATAGTTTTGTGCTAAAGTTTCAGCTCAAAACATCTTACTAATTTATTTGAATCCATTCATGGTGGAGAGGCACTTGCAGGGAGGTGTAAGACAAGATAGTTCCAAAACATTTTTTCCAGATTTTCCACTATTTAATTAATTTGACCTTTTACGTATAAAAATCCAGACGCATGTAGGTTTACTTGTGGTTTTGTATAGTAAAAAAAATGACTGTATTTGTGTTGAAAAAATGGTGACCCCTGGTTTCGATCACCACCACTGTAAATAAATCTGAGTCTAACTTTCTGTACAACAAACCATTTCACTTCAGACCACGCTGACTCTGTTTACATCACTAGGACAGAAGTGTTGACAGTTCCCCTTTAAGGAAAAGATAGTGCAACTGTGTGACTATATTATCTATGGTTACCTTATTATGGATCCATTGATGTGCATTTTACTACATGTTATTATTCTGGCAAGTGCCAAGAAGAGTAACATGGTTTGGAGAAATCTCTGGCTCCTGTTACTGGGAGAATGCAAAATTGAGTGAATGGATTTTTTTTTTATATGAGATTCCCAATGCACTACAAAAACTAACCCATTAGTTATTAATAGTGAGATGATTTGGTTAGTAAAAAGTCAAAGGTACTGTATTTATAGTGGCAAGTTTAACTGAGGTATGAGCGTTTTGGGGGTGAACGATGTACAATACTTATTTCTGTACTTGATTAAATGTAGATGAACTGATAAAATATAATTTGAGTAAAAGTCAAAGTATACTTGTGTATATTTGAAGGGTTTAGTTGCAAAATCAATGCGATGTTGATAGTATTCTGATGACGTCTTAATCGCACTGCGACCATTTTGGCAAATTCAAGTTCATTCAGCCGTGCTGTGGCTGCTTGTAATGAGAGACAGTTCTGTTGTTATGAGGTCAAGCCTGTAACAATAGACGAACCCATTTGGGTGCTATAAGGAACCCTATTCAAAAAGATTCTATACAGAAACATATAAAACACATTCTCCGTCGGTTTGAGGAACCCTTTCATGATGCAAAGAACCCTTTAATCATGCAAAGCCTTCATGGTTCTGTATAGAACTATTTTCTTTACTAAAGGACCTTTGAAGAACCATCTTTTTTAGGTGTGTATTAACTAACTACTAGTAGAGATTTCATTGACCTTGATGACTGGGCCTATATTGACATGTTTTGTTTAATCTCAGACTTTCTTTCTTGCCTCGTTTGTTATATATCCCATGTGCATTTGTGGAAATTAATGCCTTTTTTGTGTCTCTCTCAGACTAAGAACCAGAAGGCAGCCCGTGTGGCCTCTGCGCACGTGGCCGAGGAGGCGTATGGTACCGTGCCGCACTCCTTCGTCTTTCACCGCGGCTTGATTGGTAAAAATGTCGGCCAACTGGTTGCAGACATGCGGCGTGTCATGGAGCCCTACACAGCAAGAGCTTTAAAGGTATTGACTAGACCAGTGCACTAGCCTTATTTATATCAGCTGTATCTGTTCTGAGTGTCTGAGTGTTTCTCTTTGTCTTGTAGGTTCGAAAGAAAAATGTCTTAAAAGATTTCGTGACTGCGGCAGGACCACTGGGTGTCACACACTTCCTAATATTCACCAAAACTGAAACCAACGTTAACCTGGTACGTAACCTCAGAGTATTTTAGATAGGGCAGAACTGTGATCACTTGTGCTTAGTTTGTAGATTATTTCTAGATGAAGAAATCCTATAGAGACCTCCTGGAAACCCACAGAAACCCTTATCTGCACTGAAATGAAATTTCTTGGCCAAATTTGAAATTCAGGGGACACTTGACTGAAAACTGAAAAGTTTTAAACACTTTTAGAAACACTATTATTAATAAACTGAGCTGGCAGTAAATAAACAATTAACTTAAAATCAACTCTGTATACCTTTTACAGTATGTAACTACAGAATTCAGGATCCTTGACAACAGAGAATGGTTGATCATCCAAGGCAGTGAAGTTATTTATTCAGTAGTACTTGTTTGTTAGTTTTTATTTATTTATTTATTTATTTATTTGTTTGTTTATTTATTTAGTACAACAAACTTTACATAAACTGAGGCTGCAGATGGCGCTGCTGTGCTAACAGAGACTTTTCTTTCTGTTCTGCTGTGTTTTGTTTGGCTGGGTTCCGTGGGATGTGGTGTTTTCACATGTAGATGATAATCTTGTATAGAACCTGTAGTGGAGAGGTTCTTGGATGCTGTTCCCCCTCTTGATACTAGACGTAAATCACTGTTTCTGGTTTTCATTGCTGTTAAAATTATTTGTAAAGTGCTAGATTTTGACTTTTTAGATATAATTTATAGGCCATTTTTCTGTAAAAAAAAAAAGAAAAGAAAAGAAATGGGGGGAAAACCCCAAAAGTGCATTTCTCATGTGCTTTCTCAGTGGCCAAAGTCTCTATAGGACGCTACTCGATCTGCTGTCTTGCACATTTTTAGTGCCTATTTCGGTAGCCTTCAAATCTGGACCTTGAACCTAGACTCCAGTCTATGGCAACCAACCACAAAACCTTTTTGGCCCACAAGAAGATTTAATCAGCCTGATTATATCAAATGCAAACGTATGCAACACAGTATTTCACTGTATTATCACACAACATGATAATTACCAGAAAATCCTACACTCTTCTGTTTGTAGCAGTTTGTTAACGATGGACGAATTCAGTACAATTAACAGGAAACATTTTAAATTGATTAGCTAGCTGTACACCTGTTTTACTATGACAGCGTCTGCCGTTTTAAGGGTGGTCTGCTACCCAAATAGTATCTGTTTTACTAATATTGGTCCTTCTCTCTCTCTCTCTCTCTCTTTTTCTCTGGACCTCATAATGTGTCCAGTGACTGCTAGGTTGGTAGGTGTTTCTAAAAGAGTGGATAGTGAGATTTTATCTCCTGATGTTTGTTCTTGAATGCAGAATTAATGAAACCGCCATAATATATTAAAGTCTGAATGTATAAAGGCATTTAATTGAATGAGTCATAAAGCTTCATTGTTTTAAATCTCATTTCTGATGCATCCTTTGAAAGCATGTTTGGTTATAGAAGTTATTCATTTTGTGACTTTCCTCTGACAGAGACTGGCACGACTTCCCAAAGGGCCCACTCTTTTTTTCCACGTTACTAAGGTATGGTGATGCACTCTTTCCCTTTCGGCACAGTTGGTTTTAGACCAGTGAATGTGAAGTTATACGGATACAAATGATGACGCTGTAATATGTTGATTGTAAAGTGATTGTTCAAAGTAAACGCACTGATGTGTCTGCAGCTTCGGCTTCATAGTAAACAGCACTTTCTGCTGCTGGAGATTTCTTTATTTCTTTTCAGTATTCTCTCATCAAAGATGTCGTTTCATCGTTGAAGAGGCACAGGATGCACGAACAGCAGTTCAGTCATCATCCGTTGCTGGTGCTGAATAATTTTGGCCTAGATGGCATGCATATCAAGCTAATGGCCACCATGTTCCAGAACATGTTCCCCTCCATCAATGTGCATAAGGTATTGTTCATTCATTCAGCAGTTTCCAGGTTGTGGGTTTGCAACCAGCAGAAATGTTAACATTTAAAAGTTTGGAATCACTTGTCATATTAATGATTATTTAATAATAGCTTAGACAGTGTTGAAATGTTATAGACACCTAAAATATGAATTCACAATCAAAAGAATTGTGATGTTACTTTGGGAACAAAAAGGTGCGACACGGACAAAAAAAAATCTTGGCAGTTATTGGTTATTATAGAACAAGTGTTATGCACTCAGATGTCTAGGGGTAATTAAGGCTGTACATAAAAAGTATGCCAAAGACACCACAAAGTACAAATAATGGACAGATTATCAGCATTTTTCTTTTAACATGTGCAAGTTAAAGCAAAAAGTGCTTTAAACTGGCCAAGTGCATTTGTAATCTTATTGAAGGAAAAAAAAAAGCTTCAGGAGGGTAAACTAATGCCCAAAACCAACTAAAAACCAAAAAGATAACTAAACTCATCTAACATAAAACAAAATTACAGTTTTAAACTTACCTCTCTATCCCGAAACCAGGAAAAAAGAGGGCGCTCACCCCTTTACTTACAAAGAGAAAGGTTTACGTCTTTAGACAAACTCATACAAACAGGCTAACACATTAATTCACTCACAAATCCTCAGGTGGTTGGTCTGGTCAGGTAGAGGCTGATGGCACATGTGCAACCACTGGAACATCTCTGCCACATACGTAGCTGCTGTACCCATTTAGAGTCTTCCAGACATTAACCTTATGGGAAAAAGTGATGAACAAGAAAGAGAGAGCACAAAGCACCACATACCCCCAGCATCACAACATAGTAATAACGTTAGTTATTAACATTAAATATTACTTGCATAACAGGTGTTAGGTAATAGAGATAAGCTTTTCAGTCAAATGTGATTCAAATATTTAAGACATTAAATACACTGTTTGTTGTAATGTAGTGCGAGAATGTGTAACATTAGAGAGAAGCTAATTTGCAAATCAGAACTACTCATTTACTTTTTTTTTTTTCAATTTCCTGACTATTCGAATATTGAAAAATTGTTACTCATCCCTATCATGTGTAGCTCCATTCATCATTGAAACATTCATTTTTTACCGCTTCCTAATTGTAGATAGTTTGAAATAGAACATACATCAGAATTGGTTTATAGAATTAAAACAGTGATTCCAAACTTCTGAGTGGTGTTTTCAAACATTTAAACTGTCGTTTATGTAAAGAAACAGTAAACGGATGATGAACGTATAGTCTCCTGAGAATCTCCTGTGACTTGACTTGTTCTCTGATGTTCTGTCTTTATTGTTACAGTGAGCTGTTTACAATTAGATGAGTTTGTCTGTGTATTCTTAATTTTTTTTTTCCTTCTTTTTTTTTTTTTATAAGATCAACCTCAACAACATTAAGAGGTGTGTGCTGGTCAATTATGATCCAGAGTCCCAGGAAATAGAGTTCCGTCATTAGTAAGTAACATCCTCACTCTGTATGGTGGCAGCAGTCCCGGGTGCACATGATGAAACTTGAAACATGATTCTTCAGTGATTGTTTTCAAAGTAAACGCACTGATGTACCCTACAGCACTGCTCATGGCTGTGTGGGATTTGTACTGCCCCACTCACCCCTGTGTACTCTTTTCTGACCCTCGCAGCAGCCTGAAGGTGGTCCCTGTAGGCATGAGCCGAGGAGTGAAGAAACTCATGCAGGAGAGGCTCCCCAACATGAGCAAGCTGGACGATATTAGCGATCTGCTATTACAGTAAGTCATCCAGAGGACATAGAGGCAACATTTCTCAGTTAGTCAAGACTACCCAGTTACAATTTCACTTACCTCATCTAAAAACGTTGCGATTTGTCCATCTGGAAATGGTGACTGAACATTGATTTTGGAAGATTAGAATTATTAGATATTGAGTGATTCTAATATGTCCATTACTATATGCCCAAACTAAAAATGTCTGGCCATTTTAAAGTGTACAAATCTCAGGCTGACTTTACACAGTGAAACTTGAGTGTCACTGGTTGCATGCAACTTAGTTTCTACGAAGCAACTCAAAAACAACTGAAGTCACACGCAGCACATTCAGTTACACCACTAGTGAGCTGAATTAACTGCATTATAATGTTCTTGCTATATAAAGTCATCTGTGACGTAATTTACATGTGCATCTTTGCAGCATTTTATCAATTTTGTGTATTTTTTTTCAGCTGTCATTGCCTTTCTTTATTTTTTTTAGATCTATGTATAGATCTATATATCTGCATATTGTTGTTGTGGGAAGAAAACCTCATATTTCTACACACAATGTAAAGGGCAGTAGGCATTTTCGACTTATGTCAAAAACTGGAAAATGGCAAAAATGGAGATACAAGATTTTCTTCCCACAGCAGCGATATGGTTCTGTACTTTAAGTAGCCGTTCTGGTGGTGTTTGTTGTCTCGCTTAACCTGTCTTAGAAGCATTGCGGACCGCACGTTCCACTCTTCGAGTTTGTTGTGTTGGATCCCAAAGGAATCTTAGGTTTGTGTAAAATTAGAGTGAGTCAAAAGAGGAGAATATGTATAATCTAGCCATGTGGGCTGCAATAACAGCAGCGTAATGAAGAATAAATGGTTGCACAAGCAACCTTTTAAACAGCTGTTACCATCAGCTGGCTAGTTTACAGAAACGTTAGCTTCAACTCAGCTTCAACTATGGCTCAGGAAATTGACACAATGAAAAACTATAAATAGGCCTATCACATTTGTAAAATTTTAGCTGACGATTGCTATAAATAATTCCGATTAACGGTTTAATGGCTCACATTATACTGTGGTACAGTATGGTGGTGAAATTTAATGACTGGCAAATTATTGCGGTCAGATTAAATAATCGCAATTTTCTCAAATAACTGTGGTCGGGTGATTATGTAATAATTGTGCCAGGCTACTAAAAACCTCACATAAAGTCGATCAGGGTGATCTCCTTTTCCACTGTCCATCTTCTGTTTTTTGTTTTGTTTATTAATCCACTGTAATTAGATGTGTGAAAAGATGTCATGCCATGAAGTTGAGATGGTTGCAGCTGTTGTGGCTGATTTAAGGAGTTGCGAGGTGCTTTATATTATGCAACTTCATGAAATTTAGTTTGAGGTCAGGTTTGAGCAACTAAAGTTGCACGCAAGCTTCACCATGTAAAACCAGCCTAAGTACAGAGTTTGGTGCCCGTATTCCATTACAGTTCCTTCAGTCAAATTTATGTTCAGGGTGTTCTTGAAAATAAATCTGAATTTAATTTAAAAAAAAATAAAAATAAAATCATTGTGACATTTGAAATTGAATGATGCTAAAGAATCTAAATTGAGGTGGTCGAGCTTTTTGGCCTCAGGTTAGCTGGGAAATCTTGCTGAAGAATGAAAATTTCACTATTGACACTTGTACTATTTGATGCAAATGATGACATAATAAACTGGACTGAATGCTCAGTGATCTTTCAAAGTAAACGCTCTGATGCATCTATTTCCATCTTGTCTGCAAGCCGTCTCTCGAGGGCTTTGAAGATTATAATTTGCAAACATGTTTCCTCTTGTGTTCTCACTCTAAGAGGGGTGAACCTATCCGAGAGTGAAGCTGAACAAGACGGGGATCACAACATCACAGAACTGCCCCAGGTTTACTCGGGCCGCGGGAACATGAGGTCCCAGCAGAGTGCTGTCCGGCTAACGGAGGTGAGGGAGAGGAAAGGGTCCCTTGCTTCTATAGGAATTGAAGGAAATACAATACAGAATGCAATTTTTTTTTTCTGTTATGAACTGCAACATTCCTTATTTGAATACATGATTGTGTAAAAACTCAAAAATGAGGTGTGTGTGTGTATGTATGTATATATATATATAATATAGTGTTTATATGTATACATGTATGTAAGTTTGACAATGAAATTTTATGCTGTAGATTGGCCCTAGAATGACCCTGCAGCTGGTGAAGATCGTGGAGGGCATGGGAGACGGGAACGTGCTTTATCATTCCATCCGTAAGTTCCTCTCACTACAGTCTGGGATAAAGAGGCTTTGATATAGATGTTCAAAAGACAAGAAATAGGACTTTTAAAGGGCCCATATCATGGGAAACAAGTCAGATGTAGTATGAAAGCACTACAAAAGCTCCAAAGCGTACTGCTCACTCTGACACTCTAAACGGTCCATATATGGAAACTAACTGGGAAAATGGAAACTTTTTTTTGTGATGTTACACAAACCAGTAAACCAGTGCATTTGCATATATACATAAACAGTTTAGTCCCACATGTTTGTATTGTAGTTATAAAGTGTTTCAGCATCCACTGCTTTTTGAATTGGAATTAGAACAGAGGTCTTTTACGTATTTCGCCCTTAAAGACTCAGTAACAACTAGCCTGTTTAAGTGATAAAGAGAGGTCAGAAAATGGTAATGTATAAATTAATTAGGACTGTTTTTTGTATGTAAATCCACAGAACAGAACATCAGGGGAAAAAAAACAAAACAATTGTAGGCTATAGGCGTATGTGTTGGTACATTGGTGTACAAAACATACTAGTGGTAAATGCACCAAAGCTTTGGAAACTTGTTCATATTGCATTACACAATATTCTGCATAGATACAAAGACAGAGGAGGAGCTTATGGAGATCCTGAAGAGGAAGGAGGCTCGTCTGAAGGAGAAAGCAGAACGCAAACAGAAGCAGGAGCAAAATATAGCCGTAAAGAAGCAGAAACGGGATGAAAACAAGTAAATATGTTACTGTGGCACTCAGAAAACAAACATAAAGGCCTGTTTATTAAAGATTTTGTCATACATTTTGACTGTTCTTTAGTAAAACCCAACTGCATGATAGAAACACAAGCCATAGGCTTAGATTTTACATAGTTTTAAAACTATCTGATGATTACAGGAAAAAGAGTCTGGAAGGGATGAAGAGGAAACGGCAGCAGGACGGGGCGGGGTCCGATGATAGTGAAGTGGAGGATCCTGGGATGCAGGAGGACCAGGCTGCGGCTGAAGAGTCTGAAGACGAGGCAGAATACTACAGGCAGGCCGTTGGCCAGGAGCCGGATGAAGGTATTAATTCACATACAGCACGGGTCATCAAACAAATCTGACCAGGGACCGAATTCTCCCGGAGCAAGTACTCTTTTTGTTGATGCAGGGGTATGCAGAGGTACCCATGTTGCCACTGGGAGGAAAATACTTGGTGTAGAAGACTCATTTGTTCTTGTGAAGTGGTGCAACACAGAAATCTAACGATTTTATCTATTTCCAAAATAATAAAAAATGTTTTCAAATTTATTCCTCTGCATGTTGCTAAATTTTTTTGTGCTACTGTTTTTCTAGCCACTTAACACCACCAGTGTTTTCATCTAAAATATTAAGCCTAGAAACCATGTATAATAACCATATACAATCATTTTAGCCCGTGTTTTTGCTAACCCCCATGTCTACAGTTGAAAATTAGACCTGCAGCCACAACCTCAAGATCTGACTGGCTTCTCTTGCAGACATGTTCCCCACTGCTAAGAGGAAACATGGCCCAGGCAAGTCACCCAGACCTTTCAAAAAGCAGAAAGTTTCCTCTGCAAAAGCCTCTGGTGAAGAAAAACGAAGCCCCCGGCCTTCTGGCAAGCCAGCTTTCGGTGGTAAACCCTCTGCTGGCAAAAAGTTCGGAGGGAAGAAAATTGGTGTCGGAGGCAAAGGATTCGGGGCTAGAAAAATGGGAGGTTTTGGCAACAAGTTTGGAAACAGCAAATGGGGAAAGAAGTTTGGAGGAAACAAAAGGGACGGTTTTGGTGGGGATAAAAAAGGGCCGCAGAAAGGCCCCAGTTCGAAGCTGAAAGGACAACGATTAAAAACTGGTCCTGGGTTTAAAGCAGGACAGAGAGGGGGCAAAGCAAAAAAGGACTTCAGACAAAAGAAAGGGAGGAGCTGAATGAGCTGCTGAAATGAACCAGGAATCTGCATTTTACACCATATGAAATGCACTGTAAGAATAAAGCCCTGTGCTGGCGATGTTTCCAAACTTTTTGAAGTTTGAAACTGTAAAGTATGCAACATCCTCTTCTCTTAGAGGCAGCAGAAAGACTGCTTTCTTCCAAAAGATATATTTTGTGCCTTGTGTTGAATTGCATTTATGACAATAAATAATTGGATCTGTCATAAACCGCTCTGTGTTTTTGCATCAGCTGTATAGTTATTGGTGAAATTTAAGCTATATATTATATCTGAGAAGATCAGACGAGCGGAAAAAGGTGGAAGCTGAGTAGCAGAGGAAGTGAAAGCGGCTACTAAACATAAAGGCAAGCAGTGTCATGTAAGTGTCAGACAGGAAAGCATGCGCGTTGGGTGAATCACTGAAGAACGTTGTGCGTCTTCAGGTCAGCTAACGATACTGCTAGTGAGTATATTTTTTTATGCCTTTAGAAGAAAATTAACAAAATTGAATTGTACCACAATAAGTGGAACTTTCAAGATAATTCTGCAGGTTGTGTTCAGGAAAATGCACTTAGTTTCTAGACACTAATCAGCATTGCACTCAAGTTTATACTGAAATATAGGGAAATGTAGGGCATCATTGGAAAGTGTTTAGAGACTGCTGTAGCACCAGGTGAGATGTTTAACATCTCAAAGATATTAAATATTGGCTAGACCTTAGTTTTGTTTTTGTTTTTGTTTTTTTTGTTTTTTTTTTCTGACAGTTACACTGCGGTTCTGATTGGTCTGAGTTTGGCAGTTTCCTGCGAGTGTTTGTTAGTTTTTCAGGGTAGATTAATTTTACTAAATTAATTATTGTAATTTATATCCTAAATTTACATCGTCGCTAATTTGTTACCACAATAGGCAATATTGGATAAAGGAGAAAAATGGCTACTTTCAGTTGTATTCCATCTTAAAAAAAAAAAGAAAAAGAAAGAAAAAAACATGCAAATGTTTGGGGACACCTGGTCAAATGACGTGTTGGTGATTTTCTAAGGTGGGGGGGGGGGCATCAATTTGGCTTATGCAAAAGTTATTACTTGGTTTTAAACAAATAGTCCTGTTCATAATGTTACCATGGAGTTTGGTGGTTCTGTCAGACCACAGCTTCCACTCCATTTCGTAAAGTGCTTGTGCTTTAAGCAGTACAGAGTTGCCTGTTTAGTACAGTACAGTTGCCAGTAAGTACAGATACGATATGATATTTACTGTTACCGCAATTAAATCGTAACATTACTAAATTGTGATTATTTAATTGAATTGCATTACATGCTTTTCTGAGCATATGGATATTGTCAGTACTTTAAGAACACTGAACAACTGCATTTTTCATTTCAAGGAGCAGAATTATTCCTGTTTAATTGGATTTAGTGTGTAAAATGTTGAAATATAAATCAGTGCACTCTTAGATTTAGATCGTAATTTTTAAATGTGGTTCTTTTTTCTCAGTTCTAACATATCAAACCTTAGAAAAATGAAATATTGTGATACTATACACTCAGAAATAAGGGTACTCAGCTGTCACTGAGGCAGTACCCCTTATGTCACTGGGGTGGGACCTTCAAGGATACATCTCAGTACCTTTAGTCAGGGAACATAATTGTATCATAATCCATTGAAATTTTCTAAGCTGTACTGACTCCACACACCCCGTCTCGTCTCCAGCCTTTCATTTTATTGTTCTGTTTTAAAACATTCGGTTATGAAAAGGAACAAATATGTTCTTTTCACCTGGAAAAACTTATTTAAGGTTCACAATCGGACGTTAAAACCACTGTTGTACCTTTGAGGGAACATTTGCATTGTTTGTCCCTTGATGAATGAAGAAAGTACCTGTACAGAACCTTTATTACTAACAATGTATATCAGGATAATGTCAAATTAAATGTCCTATTATTAGCCATCCACCATTCTTTATTTCATATATAGTAGAATTTCTCATTTATTTGTTTTACTTTCTATATCAGTGCTGTCCGTGTTTGCCGATTTTTATTTTTCTACATCATTTAAAACACATCAGCTGTCCTTTACATTGTGTGAAAAATTCATGATGAATGGACCAATAGATTTAAAATTAAATTTAAAATTAAAGTTTCTTCTCCACTGGTAGTTTGTCTCACTGTTAGTGAGCAAACATGAGGGGTTCCTTCACCCAGCTGTGAGTTTCCGCTCTTTCCGCAGAGGGATTTAGATCAGGATAGCAGGCCAATTCAGAATGGTCCAGTGTTTTCTCTTCATCGACAGGGTTTCCGCATGTTCTGGAAAAACTGGAAATGTGTAGGCTAGTTTTCCAGTCATGGAAAGCTGGACAAATTTTGGAAAATGATTAAAATCTCTTGGAAATGTGAGTGATCTTTTGGAAAGGTGTAAAGTTGGTCCACTGAGATTGCATATTTTAGCATATTGCCAGCTGCTAATGCCCAGTTTGAGTGTCCATTCGTATCTCTTACAGTTTGGCATACAGCTTCAGCCTCACATGTGGACGTTCACTTCTGATATTTCAGTAGAATGTTTGATCAGATGATGATTGGTTAAGGAGATGTTTGTGTCAGTATATCGGAAGTTGTCTGTTATTTTAAGGTTTCATGAGCAACAGCTGTCTGACACTAGGCTGTTTGTTTCACTCCAACAGATCTTGATAATCTTCTCTTTACATCATGTTTTGCACATTTCAAAGTGTTATTTTCTTTGAAAGCTTTGTTCTCTCCTATTTCGTCTATGCATTTTCCTAGAAGGACTGTGACTTTTTAACATGCATTTTGGCTCCAGTTAGGCTTTTCTGGGCTTCTCTCCTAGAAGGAGAATCTAACATGGAGCTCATTGTCATTTTGACAGTGCATCTTGAAACTGTTGTACTGTTGTACACCCTGCAGTGTTGCCAGATTGAGCAGTTTCCCCACCAAATTGGGTGGATTAATGTTGGGGATAAAAATGCATTTAAAAAAAAAAGAAAGAAAAACATGTTAATACCTTGAAAACATAGCATTGCGCAAGCTCTGCAAGTCATGGAAATAAGACACTCAAAAATTAAATAATTTAATTATTGAATTTATTTATAGTTTCTTTGTAAAGACTGTTTTTCTGTTGTTTGACAGAGAAAAACTACAAATAAATCTTTTGGTTCTTCATAGCAGTGATTAAAAAATGCTTAAAAGACTGACAGTGCCTTAAATACTTATTTTCAAAGACAAGACATGTATGGTTTAAATAACTGTAGGCTGGTTTTGATGGGTACTTTCTGGGCGGTTTTCACACATTTTGGTGGTTTTTAACAGTGTATTGGCTGGAAACTATAGAACCCTTACAACCCTGACCTAAAAACAAACAGCCCATCTGTTTCCATTAATAATTTGTTTGTCTGGTCCTTTATCAGTGGTGATTTTGTGACCACATGACCCTGTTGCACCATTTTTGGTGTTGCCAACACTAAGAGTAAAAAAACCATGCAACACAGCTGTGCTTTATACATACAGCATGAAACTATGATATGTTTTTGCATTACAACAGTATGAGTCATTTATGACAAACGCTGGTGCTGCTTTTGTGGTTGGTTTTACAAAAACCTTTTAAAATTACCCCTCCCCCCCTCGCTTCACCACTATGGTTTGTGGGGTCGCTCACTACTATTTCCACTACTAAAAGTCACTGCTGGGCCTTCATAAAAAGCAGGTGAAATGGGTGTACTGAGTGGTTTTATTGCTGTCATAAAAGGTCACAGTCTACGTCGTGTACTCTGGGGAAAGCACACTGAACGTCATGTGCTTTCCCCACTCGCTATCTCACTGTGGTTTGATGGTGTCTGGAAATGTAAGGATTGAATGAATGCTGCTAGATTGAAGTCCATAAAAGGCAGTGTGCTGAGACACAGTCACGTAATTAATATAATGTTGCTGTTCTTTAAAAATAAACTTGACATGTCAGTGTTGCTGTGAAAAAAAAGTCATTTCTCTTTTGGATGCAGGAGGTCCAGTATAATGGCAGTGAACAACTCCTCCTGTGACTTCACATACGGAGAACAGCTGTTAATTTTTACGTTCTGTTTGGGAACGTACACCGATCAGGCATAACATGACCACCTCCTTGTTTCTACGCTCATTGTCCATTTTATCAGCTCCACTTACTATATAGGTGCACTTTGTAGTTCTACGATTACAGACTGTAGTCCATCTGTTTCTCTGCATACTTTGTTAGCCCCCTTTTACCCTGTTCTTCTGTGGTCAGGACCCCCATGGACCCTCACAGAGCAGGTACTATTTGGGTAGTGGATCATGTATGGTGAGTTAGTGTGTGTTGCGCTGGTCTGAGTGGATCAGACACAGCAGTGCTGCTGGAGTTTTTAAACACCTCAGTGTCACTGCTGGACTGAGAATAGTCCACCAACCAAAAATATCCAGCCAACAGCGTCCTGTGGGCAGCGTCCTGTGGGCAGCGTCCTGTGGGCAGCGTCCTGTGACCACTGATGAGGATGACCAACACAAACTGTGCAGCAGCAGATGAGCTATTGTCTCTGACTTTACATCTACAAGGTGGACTGACAAGGTAGGAATGTCTAATAGAGTGGAGAGTGAGTGGGCACAGTGTTTAAAAACTCTGGCAGCACTGCTGTGTCTGATCCACTCGTACCAGCGCAACACACGAACACACCACCATGAGAATGATCCACCACCCAAATAGTACCTGCTCTGTGAGGGTCCATGGGGGTCCTGACCACTGAAGAACAGGGTAAAAGGGGGCTATATGCAGAGAAACAGATGGACTACAGTCTGTAATTGTAGAACTACAAAGTGCTCCTATATAGTAAGTGGAGCTGATAAAATGGATAGTGAGCGTAGAAACGAGGAGGTGGTCATAATGTTATGCCTTATCGGTGTATTTGCCCTGAGGTTGCTGGGGACAAGGGAGAGGGGTGGTGTTCTCCTGCAACCTGGCCATCAGCAACATCCTTTACGTT